ATTGTTGCATCACCATTTGGTTTAAAATCACATTGATTAATTAATTCACAGAAATAAACAGAATCCATATCACATCTACAATAAAATAATATTCTTTACTAATATAATTGGGAGTTAATCGATTCATTAGTTAGATAACTGGACTTATATGACGTCTAATCCTCCCTCTTCCCATGGTCAAACTGGAGCCCCGGCTTGGTTCCCCCTTGTCAGTGATGCAGGACGGCGGAGGGCCTGACAAGGACAGCTGTCTAGACCTTTGGATGAGACGAAAAACCGAGGTCCCGTGTATATATTGGAATGCACGTAAAAGATCCCCTGGCAGTTGGAATTCGATATAAGAGTAGGCGATAGTGCCGATGCCCGGGCAAAATTTCCCTCATCGCACACTGTATGGCGTATGTCCGTCTTCATTAGCCCAGTATCGGAGCAGAACAGTAGGACGTCAAACCCCATTTCATTTCATTTCATTTCAAACTGGAGCCACGGTGGCGCAGTGAGTATAGCATTGACTAACCGGGTGGTCATGGGTTCGACCTCGGTGTAAGAAACCCTTCGCTGTTATCCAGCCTGTGTTCTCTTTATCAATGGTGCGGGAAATGGGATGCTCCTAGATGGGACGAAGAACCCCCCCCCCCCCAGTGTACTCAGTGTCGTGAAAGAACCCTTGAAAGTTGTAATTCGAGGACGGGTAGGTGAAAACACCGCTGTCTCGACAAAATAACCCGCATAGTACAACACATTATGCAACGTTCATCTTCATCAATTTAGTTTTATCGCCTTCATTTCCATCGCGAAAGATTCCTTGCTAAGTAATAAAAGCATGTAGATTTTATTTGTTTTCGATTAGCAAAGTAACGTTAAAATCCATGGAACTCTCTGGGTGACGACTGTAATAAAGTTACATATTTAATATTAAACTCTTATAGAATATATACTGAGTAGCAGATTCCTGAAGCAATGGCCCGAGAAATCCCATATTCATTAGGTCCAATCAAACGAAACACTTCGAGAAGTATGACTGAGTAGCTAGTTGTTGTTGTTCTTAGTGTTTAAATTACGCTTCCACCGAATGTGATATCGCAGACAAGTTGTCTTTTTTTTATTTTTATTATCTTAGCGCACGCGCAGGGGTCTTTCCTGTGGGAGGAAACCGGAGTACCCGGAGTAAACCCACGAGGTTGAGCAGGTGCCCCTATCTCCAAGCCAAATACGCTCACACCAGGCATCGAAACCACAGCCGCAAGCCAGAGGTGACCGGCCAGCTAGAGGTCGAAGTGTGACACTCTAGACCACTCGGCCATCTCACCCCCCCCCCCCCCCGAGCAGCTACCATCACAAAGTTAGATATACCGTGGAGAGACGGGGGGGGGGGTAACTCTACAGGACTTAATGAGTAGTTAACAAGTTAGATATACCGTGGAGAGACGGGGGGGGGGGGGTAACTCTACAGGACTTAATGAGTAGTTAACAAGTTAGATATACCAGGTGTGACGTTAAATCTATAGAAATTATTGAGGGCGGTGGGGCGTTAAAATCTGTGGAACTATGGAACTTACTGAGTAGCGGCCTTAACAAAGTTAGATACACCAGCAGACTCTTGACAGTAATTATTACAGCCAGCTTGTTGTTTTTTAGATGGTAAATAACTACATAAACCTGAACAGTCTCCAACAATACCTGTATCTAAATACGTAAAATAATAATTATAGATAAATCAGAAGGGGTACCAGGTGTTCTGTGTAGGATCAAGCACGCGACTGAGTGTATTCTGGGGAAAGAAAGACTGAAGAAAATAACCCTAGCATAACCGAAGTCGAGGACTTTATGTTGATTATCTTGGGCTTCTGATATCCAATATTTAAGACAAAATGAAAATTTAGAATTTGGCATACGAATCACGTGAAAGAATGCTTTCGATCGCCATTTGTAATGAAGCGACTAAACGAAGCTAAACATATCGCCAAAGACTGTCATTCAGTTTGAACTCTTCGTGTATTTCGCCGAAAATAACTGATTAGAAATTACATTAAAATCAGAAACGATTGAATGTAAATCAGCTTATATACATTCATATAACATTATTATATGTGCCAAAGAACGGAGAAGTAGCTCCTTTAAACAAAGATATTGGTGTCGAAGAAATTGCACTATTTAAAGTCATAAAGAAAAGGATAGAAAAACAAGCCAAGGCGGCTTATATTAATTAATTGTTTTATTGTTAAAAAGTATATGGGGAATATTAAATCAACTTTTTGTGTGTTTTTAATACGGAATAAAACGAATATTTTATTTCATTACTATTCTAAAACCCTTTAGATGTATTTGCTATTTGGGTGTAATGGACAGGGTCTCTAATAATGTCATTGTACTATTGTTCAAGCATTTCCAACAAACGAACAAACGGGTTGCAGTTAGTTCAGTATTAGAAATGAATTCAGGAAACTAACGGAGATGTCAAAACTAGACAATTAACTTTGCAATCAAAAGATTTCTCCTTTAATTTGAAATTTTGATTTGTATATAATTTGTAGTTTGCCCTTTTTCTCTATATATTATATATCGTGTATGTTACAGTTTTCAGTATTAACGTGCTATAATTAATAACCCGAACACAAACATCGGCTTTCCTGGAACAAATAACTGTCAAAAACTGAGCTAAAAATAAATTATTAAACAATAGCTGATACACGCCACCATATAATAGATTATAATGGCGAGGCATGTCGTTATAACAATGCTTTAAAGCGCAATAAACTGTAACACCTAGTGTACAGGGGCTAAGGAAAGGGGACGCAGTGACGCGCTTTGCGTCATGGGTTTAAAGTTTTTGCGCCCCTTGAGATTTTGCGACCCCTTTCAAAAAAAAATCACGTAGTTTTCAATGCAGCTTTCAACACTATTGACACACAATTGCCATATCTGTTCAAACAGTGGCTCAGATATACCACAAATCTACTCTACCATGTTTAAAAGGCCCAAACAAATTTCGACTCCAGGAGGAGAAAGGCCCCCGGGTCCCCCTAACGATGCATATCGTGGGTATTTGTGCCCCTTAATAGTAAGTGCAGGGAAACTGCACCACACAAAATTTACACAAAAACAAATACACGGACATGACATCATACTCAGGAAAACACAAACATACAGACAATTAAAAAAAATTGAATGGATCCGGGGGCTAGCCGTAAGCCTCCACTGCGCTGTACAGTCCAGGGTCTGTAGTGACACAGACTTCACTCAAATTTGAAAACAATTAGAAATACAACCCAAACAACCCATTGTGATTCCTCATATAAAACTACGTGCCACCACGCCCCTGCAATACCGTCGGCCAGATAAATTAGTAATTGTTCTTCTATATAATTATTTGTTATAATATATGAAATATTACTTACTCATGATAACATTGAGTATCTGTCCAAGATTTTTATCAGCGAAATAATAACATGATATACATGTAGATGGTGACTGGTATGATTTATTAACAGATGCAACCGATTGAAAAATAATTACACACAGATAGCACGTGATTGTAATATACAGAACCTAAAAATAATAATACACAGAGTTATAGAAAATATATTATATCAGGGGCGGATCAAGAGAGGAGGGCGGGCCAAACCCCCTCCTGGTCAGCTACGTGAACGTAAAAAAATTGTAAAACAGCACGGTCGTGTGCTTTATCCTTTATCGTTAGATGGTGGGATGGGATGGGCATTGTCATCGAATTAATTCATAATAAAAATTGACGTCAAACAGGGTGTTGGATTTCTCTGTTTAAAAAATCTCAGTGTGTATGTATATACGCCAAAATAACGATATAGACCAACCCCACCCCCACCCCCCACCAAGAGATACATTGTCTCAGGTACCGGCACCCCCCAAACCTCCTGTAAAAATACCTGGATCCGCCCCTGTATATCACTGGTTTGTTATTACATATGATACTAACGAAACATCAAGGATGTTCATATTATCTATTCGATCAGTCGGTGTTTAATATATCCATTCGGTCTTTAAGAGCCATGGTGGTTCAATGAGTAAGGCGCTTGTTCACTGACTAACGAGCTAACGAGGTGGTCCGGGTTTCGATCCCGGTGTTGGCCGAGAAAGTTCCGCAGGGATTTTCCAGTGTGGTTCGCCTTGTCAGTGGTGCAGGAGGACGAGGCGGGGAGGGGGGCAAGAAGCTGCGTCTAGTCGTTCGGATCGGACGAAAAACTGAGGTCCTGTGTCGACATTGGCGTGCATATATAAGAACCCTTGACAGCTGGAATTTAATTTCTGTTCGGGCAAAATAACCCTCATTGTACACTGTATGGCGTATTCCCGTCTTCGTTAGTCCAGTTGGCGCAGAAAAGTAGGACGTTAAACGTATCCCACCTCATTTCATTCATTCGTTGCTCAATTAAAAGATTTGAACAGGGATGTTAAATTAATTTATAGGCCTACTCGCAGATTCCTGGATTCAGTTTATTCATTGGGTGCTTCAATTTAAAATTTGTTGTAATTAATTAATTCATTCTGTATCTAATTCATTAATTCTTGGTGATATGCATTTTTGCATTCCATGTCTGATTTTTGTTAATTCCGTGATTTATTTAATTAACTGAAAAAAAATCTGACATCTTTTTCTACAGGTAGCCTAGCTACCTTTTGAAATTAAATTGCATCAATAACTCTTATGTAACTACGTCGAAATAAAAAATAAGAATCACGTCAATCGGTCCCACAAAGGGATTAGAGCTGAGAGTGGATTTGATTAGATTTTCAATAAATTTAATAATTAACACATTTAATCTATCCAATAGAACTACTATATATGTTCATGTTCATGTACCTTCATTTTTTCATCCATTTAAATTGAAAATATGGTGTAAAAAAATATACTTAAAATCTTAGCCGTATTTCCACACAGTTTCATATAACGGTACATATTATAACGGGCACCTGTTAAGTCACATGACCTACTTCTATCACGTGATCATCTCTAAGGAGTAACGTGAGCTTGTTTAGACATGGCGACTTACGGAGATTATTTCTAATTACACATAATGGTTTAGGTATAGAGAATTTCCTACACGTAAAGAAAGAAAAACCTACAAGATAAAATGGCTGCGACAAAAACTTATAAACTAGACTTAGAGCCTCCAAAACGGAATGTGTTCGTGACACAGCTGCACGCGAGGTGAGGATAAATCAGTGGTTAATTTGAGGTGTTGAGTCTTTACAACCAGGTTAATAATTCATTAATTGATGGCTTGATTAACTCGACAAATTATCAAATCAATTATTCATCAGAACCATTTACCGTTCGTTGAACATTGATTTGTTCTTCTTTATGAAATTAAGTTAATTGATACAGTGACAAAAGATATTTTAGAAAATTAAATTAATGGATAGGTTATAATTGTGTAGAATTAGAATACTGCAGATCTAGGCGATGATACAATAGGTGCTTGGATTATATTAATATAACGGGATATATCCAAAAATAGCAGTAAATATTAAAAGGTGTATATCAAACTAATAATCATTCGATTTTGATGTTATCTCTTTGATGCTAGACAACCTGCAATATATATCATATCAACTTATAAAATGTTAAGAATTAATTTATTGCAATAATTTATCAGATTTTTCTGGTCGATGAATTGCAATTGAAATATAGATTTACTTTTTTGTTTTATTGAATTTTAAAGGTCAATGGTAAATCTTCATAAATTTATTAAAAAATGCAAGTAATTATGTTAACATATCCTTTTCATAAGTATAACATGTCAATATTACCTGCAACAGGTAAACAATCTGTGACGTCATTTTAGTCCTTCTGCTTATAGAAATATAGACGAGAATATGAGCAGAATAACTAAAATGACGTCACAGATTGTTTATTGACGGAAAGTTACGACTACCCATGGAAAACGGCGGATATTACTAACGTTGAAATTTACCTGTTGCTGGTAATATTGACATTCAGGTACATATTGTACTGATGGAAGGGAGAGAGAGAGAAATGGGGTTTAACGTCCACTCGACACAAACTAGGTCATTCCGCGACTAACATAGGGTTTAATTTTTTAGTTCAATCATTCGCTTGCGCGTAGGGGTCTTTAGCAGTGGGAGGAAACACTCTTGTCACATACAACCAGGGATTCGAAACCACACCAGTTGACTCAATGACAGGCCTTATGATACAGCACGGTAATGTTAACACACACACACACACCCACACACTCACACACACCCACCCGCCGATGGAAGGGATATGTTGACATAATTACTAGCATTACAACTCAATAAAGCATTCACCAGGTTACGTATGAATTTCATACAATGTAGAAAAATACTTTGTAAATTTGGGTTTGGGAAAAGTTGTCTGATATATCTTGCCTGTTCAGTTCCTCGGATAGACTTTTGTCGTTATTTGAATTATGTTTAAAATCTGCTATTGACTATAGTCTACGATATTCTGTGAATATTTCCAATTTATAAAAATTTGATGTAGATTGTATTTATTGTAGAGATGATGAGGATGACATCACACAGATACCAGTGGTACGAGAACCAGGGCATCGTCTTCTGGAATCCAGCACGAACACGCGCCAAAGAACCCTTCTCTTAAAACAAGAAGTTGAGACTGATAAGGTGGATGCTGAATTAGAAGCCAAACGGCGAGAGTTTAAGGAACGAATGGATGCATGTGAAAAACGAAGAATTGAAGTCCAGAAAAAACAACAAAGGGTAAGACTTCAAGGGTTGACTCTCATAATCTACATGTACAAATGTATGCATGCACTTGCACAACTATTAACTATTGAAACCCCCTTAAGAAAGAAACTAATTTCGCTCAGATTCCTACGTAAAATGAGGGAAGTAGTCTATGCCACCTTTGTTGCGTGCATATACATGTAGCTCCATTTTACAGTTACCAATCAAGGTCATGTTTATTTCTGATGGGGAGGGGCGGGGGGAGTTGAATGGCCGAATAGTTAGTACATGTGAGCTGTATCGTAAGGTCTGTTATTGAGTCAACTGGCATGGTTTCGATTCCTCGGTTATAGGTGATAAGGAGTAGGGTCGCCAGTCCAACCTCGTGGGCTTCCTCCGGTTTACTCCCACTGCTAAAGACCCCTACGCGAAAGTGATTTATTGAAATAAAATCGAACAATATGTTAGTCCCTAAATGACCTAGTTGTGCGGAGTGGAGTTAAACCCTCTCTCTCTCTCTCTCTCTCTCTCTCTCTCTCCCCCCTCTCTCTCTCTCTCTCCCCCCTCTCTCTCTCTCTCTCTCTCTCTCTCTCTCTACTAAAATGTACACAAACTGATTATTTAGCATTTTATTAAGAAAGTAAAAAAGACAACCAAAATATCAACAATAGATAATTACACTCCACTGATTCAGTAAAATTAAAAAGAGACTCATCAAAAGATTGAACTGGCTTGTTTCCATATCGTCTACAGACAATACTTCTGTAAAAAATACTGAACAGAACTGAATCTGCAGATATCCCTTTTTTTAGAGATTCAATTTTCACAATATTAGTTTGCAAGGGATTCAAATGACTATCATCAGATTTAATCAAAATGTATTTCACTGATTAATAATTTTGAGGTTTGACATCCACTTCCACACAGAATGATATCGCAGACTACAATCTGATTAAAATACAGATCTATATTTCGTTTCGTTTTTTATACTTTCGATGGCCTACACTACATGAAGATCTGACCAGTTGTACTGGAAGGTCATGTCAGGGGTCATACGAGTGGCTTTTGACCCTATGACATCAGACATTGATTAATCAATCAGCGTTGATGTTTCTAGTGGTTTACCCACAGTTCCGTGCATCGCACACCAAGAACTCGCCGTAACTTACCGTTTCATTGGCTAATCCTTCACTTCAACCAGAACGACAGTAATATAACAACTCTTTCTTATCCAAGTGTAGTAAAGACAAGTAAAAAGAAATTTTGAACTATAAAAAACAAAATGAAATAGGATCTGTGTTTTAATCTGATTGCACGGAATACAATATAGGCCTACTTGATGTAAACTTAGTTACATATGATTATAACGGAGGAGTTAACAATTGGTGTGTCGATATATTAAAGATTAAATAGAGAGTACTGTCTAGTGATAGCCTTAAACCTTATCTAAAGATTAATCTAGTGTTTAATATCTGAGGGTGTTGGATTTAATCAGGATTAATCAGGATTAGTGATCAGGCAATCTTCCTAGATCAAAAGACAATTAGAAACTGTTCTCAGCTTAGATTAATCATTTAGTACTTGGTACATTGACCACCTCTGTTCCTTGAATGAAAGTAGAGAAAGGTCATATATTAATACATGTACCAATAATTCTCTGGATAGACTAAAACAGTTTGAAACTGGTTTTCCTTATATAGACAGACTCAAACCCGCCCAAGATCACAGTCAGAGGTGCCTATAATGTGGAAAATATTTAAAAAATATCATCAAGCTATGACTAACCTATAATGTCTAAAGACTGTTATGTTCATCTTCGTAAGTGAGATTATCAAATAATTGGTCTGATTTTTAAGCGTCATCATAGACTCGATTGTAGCTACATTTGTACCTAGCCAAAATTAGCGAGCATTGCCACTGGTTGACGGAATCTAGAGTAGTGAACTTTGATCACAATTATTTGAATCCAACCCGTTTCTCACCTTGGTATTATTATATCTACTGAAAGAGAATCGGTTTCAGGTGAGTTATTTGCCCCTAAGTTAGAAATCGGAATCGGACCAGTTATTTTAATGTTATTTTTTATATATTTTCTACATTACAGGAGCCTATGCCCAAGATATGGGAATAGATTTGCGTATTATATATATATATATGTCCATTTAGTAATTTGTGCAAGCGTCACATCTGTGCATGTTACAGGGTAGTGTGGTCTATAAGGAGCCCTGCTTTTTAGGACATTTTGGGGGGGATATAATTGCTAAAGGGTTAAAAAGCGTTGCCATTTCAACACCACATGTGCATTAGAAATACCACAGGCCAATTAGAAATACCACATGCCCATTAGAAACACCACATGCCCATTAGAAACACCACATGCCCATTAGAAACACCACCTGCCCATTAGAAACATCCAATCATTAAGCTGAGATTACTGTACCACCATTTTTATCATCAATATAATAATATTGTTTATATCTACAGATGAAGGACAGGGTGGCAAAGTTTGAAAAATTTATTGAAGAAAATGAAGTAAAACAGAGACGAGCCATACAGAAATATCAACAAGAAGTTCGATTACGAGCCATGAAAAAGTCCGAATTACAAATACTCACTGAACAGCTGGAACAGATAAAACAAAGGTGGGTGTGGTCGATTATTTCACTTGATTTTATATTTGTTATTTATTTCTTGCCATATCGGTGTAGTTTGTCTTGTCCAGAGGTGAGGGTGGGGGGCTTAATGTTTTGCACGTGTGCGTTGTACCATAAGGCCTGTCATTGAGTCAACTGGCGTGGTTTCGAATCCCCAGTTGTACGTGACAAGGAGTAGGGTCGGGTATCCAACCTCGTCAGTTTCCTCCAGGTCCTCCAGTTTCCTCCCACCACGCAAGCGAATTATTGAAATAAAATTGAACCATATGTTAGTCCCGAAATGACCTAGTTTGTGTCGAGTGGAGTTAAGCCCCATCTCTCTCTCTCTCTCTCTCTCTCTCTCTCTCTATCTCTGATAGTTTATGGGTAGTGGATTGTTTGCTAGTAGCGGACATGTTACTGATGAAACATCAATACACTGTTCTGTAGGATCTTCTCTAGAACAATCATTATTTCTCAGTGATGGAAAATCATCAAAAAATCATCCTTTGATGTACAGAAATTTATTTTATTTTTGTTTTTCAGACATCGATCTTTACAGAAGTTATTAGCTCAATATAAAAAATATGAAACGTATTTATTAGCTGTGGTTGAAGCAATGCCTGAAGGTAAGAATGGAAGGGAAAAGAATGAAAATTAAAATTGGATGAATATATTGGAATGAAAGATGTTCTGTGGATGTAATTTGGATGGGTGGATTCAAGGGTAAAGATGGGTGGATTACAATCTGATTACAATACAGATCTATATTTCGTTTCGTTTTTTTATACTATCGATGGCCTACACTACATGGACATCTGACCGGTTCTAGTGATAGGTCGCATCAGAGGTCATATGAGCTGCTTTTATGACGTCAGACATTTGATTAACCAATCAGCATTAATATTACTAGTGGATTACCCACAGTTCCGTGCAAAACACGCCTAAAGCTCGCCATAACAGACCGTTTCATTGGCTTATCCCTCACACCATACAGAACACATCAATGATAACAAGGCTTCCAGATCCTAGTGTAGTGAAGACAAGTAAAATGAAATTTTGAACTATAAAAACGAAACGAAATAGCATCTGTGTTTTAATCTGATTGGGTGGATTCAAGGGTAGGGATGGGTGAATAAATGAGTGGAAACATTTGATAAAAGAGAGAGAGAGATGGGGTTTAACGTCCACTCGACACAAACTAGGTCATTTCGGGACTAACATATGATTTAATTTTATTTCAATAATTCGCTTGCGCATAGGGGTCTTTAGCAGTGGGAGGAAACCGGAGGACCCGGAGAAAACCCACGAGGTTGGACAGGCGACCCTACTCCTTGTCACGTACAACCGGGGATTCGAAACCACGCCAGTCGACTCAATGACAGACTTTATGATAAAGCGCGCACACGCTAACCATTCAGCCATCCAACCCCCCACATTTGATAATAGGCCTTGATTTTAAAGTTTGGATTCAAGAGTAATGATGGGTGAATCAATGAGTGGAACATTTGATAAAAGGCCTTGATTTTAAAGTTTGGATTGAAGAGTAAGGATAGTGAATCAATGAGTGTAAATATTTGATAAAAGGCCTTGATTTTAAGGTTTGATTGATTATAATGTCTGATATCTGTCTTGTAGATTATATTACATCAAGTGAAGATAAAGTTAAAGGTTTAATGATGAGACATCGAACATTAGATGAAGCAAACACAGATTTACTCTCTAATCTGAATGCTATAGGAGATGAAGTAAGTATACTCGCTAATCTTACTAGGGGGGTGGGAGGGATAGATGGCCGGATGGTTAGCGTGTGCCCGCTCCATCATAAGGTCTGTTAGTGAGTGAACTGGCGTGGTTTCAATTCCCTGCTTGTACATGACAAGGATTGGGTCGTCTGACGAATCCTCGTGGGTTTTCTCTGGGTCCTCCGGTTTCCCTCCCATTGCTAAAGATCCCTACATGCTAGCGCATTATTGAAATAAAATTGAACCATATGTTAGTCCCAAAATGAACTAGTTTGTGTCGAGTAGAAGTTAAACCCCATTTCTCTCTCTCTCTTTTCCAATCTGAATGAAATTGGAGATGAGGTTAAGTATGTTACACCTTTCTTAAAGGATCATTTCTTTTCTAAAATGATCTTTTTGTCTAAAATAATGTTGCTGATAGGGACACAGTAAAACTTGGAGCATATTCTGGTCATTGTCTGTCACACTCACACAAATGAAATGGAGTTTAACGTCCTACTGTTCTGCTTTAACTGGACTAATGAAGACGGGCATACGTCTCATACAGTGTGCTATGAGGGAAATTTTGCCCGGGCAGCGGCACATAACTTTACATGGCAAAACTCGTCATGATATATTGCTCAGATTTACAAAACTCGTCCTGATATATCACTCAGATTTACAAAACTCGTCCTGATATATCACTCAGATTTACAAAACTCGTCCTGATATATCGCTCTGATTTATAAAAGAAAAAAGAATATTGTTGATTTGTTTTAGTTTGAGGCCACAAAAGCGAAATTAGATTTACTAAAACAAGAACATAACACGAAGAAACTCTGGTACAACAGTCGACTAGCAGAACTTAAAACTCTAGAGGAACAAAAGAGTGGAAAAAATCAGAGGAAAGAACAAAACTTTTTATTAACCAAAGATAATCTGAAATTTAAGGTAAGATATATATAGTTGATAGTCCGACACCCCAACCAAAGTTTCACCATCAACCAGCTGAATAAAGGGGTTGGATGGCTGAATGGTTAGCGTGCGCGTGCTGTATCATAAAGTCTGTCATTGAGTCGACTGGCGTGGTTACGAATCCCCGGTTGTACGTGACAAGGAGTAGGGTCGCCTGTCCAACCTCCTGGGTTTTTCTCCGAGCCCTCCGGTTTCCTCCCACTGCTAAAGACCCCTATGCGCAAGCGAATTATTGAAATAAAATTAAACCATATGTTAGTCCTGAAATGACCTAGTTTGTGTCAAGTGGACGGTAAACCCCATTTCTCTCTCTCTCTCTCTCTCTCTCTCTCTCCAGCTGAATAACATCCTTGGTATCCCGAATGAGGCTAAGACTGGTTTGAAAACTGGTTTTTGATTAGTTTGTAGAATCAAGCTACAATCAAGGGCAGATAATTTGAATATGTGAATACCCCATGGATGAACCCAGGGTATAATGGAGTAGAACGGAATGAGACCACATGAGATACCAAGGATGTCCGAATAAGAGATATTGGTGTTGTTATCTGTCATTAACAGTCTTTGATAATTAACAGTAGCAATCATTTAACCCCAGTTCTATTTAACAACATTTCTTTCAACTTTTTGTTTACTAGAATTTCAACTTTGTAATCTCACAATAAATATCTGATTTTTATAATGGCCTAGTGTAATATGATAATAGCTGTAGGAGCAAGGGCACATTGACAGTAGTTAAACATAACTCTGATGGCACCTGTCAGGGATAGCGTGTGTCAGGGATGGCACATGTGGGACTAACAAGGAAATCCTATTTAGCCATTTGGATGGAATGAAAACCGAGGCCCACCCTGTGTACACATTGAGATATACATGTAAAAGTAGGCTAAATTCTCTCTTTGCATTGCACACCTAAGTATTGAAGTGAAGAATAAGATATGTAGGTCTCAAAATAGTCACATTATTTCCTTCTTCTTTCTTGTAAATTACGTTATTTTTTTTATGTTTGTGAAACCTGTATTATAACAGGCGCTTGTGACTGGTCCCCAGATCCATTCACTTGATGTATCATTTGTTGTTTATTTCTGGCAATGTCTGTTTGTCTTGTTAGCAGGTTTGTCCTCTTGCTCTTACTATTAATATAACAAAGGCCTTGTATGTTATATTTTTATTACAGAGTAGAGAGTTAGGTATAACATTAATATAACGAAGGCCTTGTATGTTATATTTTTATTACAGAGAACAGAGTTAGGTATAACATTAATGGCTATAGATAATATCTACGAAAAATGTAGAAAAGAAAAAAGTTACGATTTACCAGCAGATAAAGTGAACATTGATGATAAACTGAAACATATAGAGGTAGGCCAATATATATTCTAGTCTAATTTACCTGTAGAAGGTAAACTACAGGTAATACATATAGATACTGAACACAACCATATTTACACCAATTGTTTTAATGATATTTAGTAATTGAACTGGAATATACAGGTGACAATTCTATAGAATACAGTTACTGCTTATTACTGAGCGATGTTTCAACAAGTCTTCTCATAATTACATTACTTTAATTAAGTTAGGGTCCCTTCAAGGTAATTAGAAGGGTATCCCTGGCTGGTCAGCATTAACCAAGTATTGTTATGTACATATTACATGTATGTAGATATTGTTTTGTTGGGACTAACATATGGTTCAATTTTATTGCATTAGTTCTTTAGCCGTGGGGGAAACCGAAGGACCTGGAGAAAACCCACGGGGTTGGACAGGTGACCCTACTCCTTGTCACATACAACCAGGGAATCGAAACCTTGCCAGTTGACTCAATGACAGACCTAATGATACAACGTGCATGCGCCAACCATTCGGCCACCCAACCCTGCTATTCAATAGAATTGTGACCTGTATATTTTTAGACCAGTCTTCCTTTGTTAAATTCAACTTTGATAATATTGTTATTAAAAATCACTCAAATGATGAAATACGACTTCTAAGTGCCCTCTATAATCAATCTCAGTGTATTGAGTTTTTGATACTTCTAAAACTGTTGCTCTGGGGGAGGGGGGTTGGATGGCTGAATGATTAGCATGTGTGCGCTGTACCATAAAGTCTGTCATTGAGTCAACTTGCCTGGTTTTGATTCCCCGGTTGTAAGTGACAGGTTGTAAGTGACAAGGAGTAAGGGTCACCTGCCCAACCTCATGGGTTTTCTCCGGTCCTCCGGTTTCCTCCCACTGCTAAATTTCCCGGTTGTACGTGACAAGGAGTAGGGTCGCCTGTCCAACCTCGTGGGATTTCTCCAGGTCCTCCGGTTTCCTCCCACCGCTAAAGACCCCTACGCACAAGCGAATTATTGAAATAATATTAAACCATATGTTAGTCCCGAAATGACCTAGTTTGTGTCGAGTGGAGGTTAAACCCCCATCTCTCTCTCTCTCTCTCTTTGCTCTGGGGGATGCAGTTGATCTCTTGCAGATTTAAGTAACTTTTCTACTAAAAACAAATGTAGACCATTAATTTCAAAATATTCTGTTTTTAGCAAATTCATATTCATCTTTCTTTTTTTTTTTTCAGTATCATCTGAAGGAAAGAGAACAAGTAGCACATATTGTCCAGACAGACACAGGAACTACGATAGACTCTTTTAAACCAGACTCTCCAAAGCCCTCTAAAGAAAAACAAACAAGAAGTGTCCGAGTGAAAGTGCCCTAATGTGCTGATTAAAGCACAGAAAATTCTACCATTCTAGTGACTTTCCCGTTGTTTTACAATTACTGTGCTTCATTTTCGTTGTGGCGGTCAAGATGTTATATTGACCAGAATCGTACTACGATTGAATTATACGAAATGACGAACCAGGACGTATATGTGCTACAGCTACCATCAAATTGATGATCATCATTTGCTTGATAAAGGCGAGAGTATCATCGTTAATAAACCAGTAATTGTTATTCTATAAATAGTTTTTAGTGTGATATACGAATTGGTTGTGCTAAAACATAACAGTGAAAAAATAAATCAAGTAGTCCTTTCCAAATGCCATATATTTGATCAGTATTCATTTTAAATTTTAAAGATACATTATGGGATATTAAAGAGCTAGCAGTTCTCTCTTTTATAATTAAAAACTAGATAATGTAAAGGGAATTTGCTGAAAACTTCAGTCAAATTCATCCATTCTGAACCGAGAATTTAGCTATTGAAATTTTGCCTAGCCTCGATCATCATTACTAAATCCTTATAAGACATATAGAAATAGATTTCACTAAAAATAAAACACACTTATATGGATATACTACTAAATTCAGAAGTAGTATATCCATATAAGTGTGTTTTATCATTACTAAAGTCGGTATGTAAAAAAACATAGTCTCGATTATCCATTTCCTGATTTAATCATGAGTGAAAGTTGAGGAGCAAATAGGAAATGAAATGAAATGGGGTTTAATGTCCTACTGTTCTGCTCCTATACTGGGCTAATGAAGACGGGGAGCAAATAGGGACCTAATCCAGTAAATATCGGAGGCTAGTGATGACATCTAGAGTTGATTATGGTCTGGATAAATTAATTAATGTCAAATTAATAATTAATATAACATTTCAGACCAGCAATAGGCAGATTTAGCTCTTGTATAATGTATGTTTAAAGATGTCTTGGAAGTAAACATCCTAAAATATATTTTTATTTGTTGTAGTCTGATTATTGTTTATTGTTGTACTTAATTAACATCTGACATACTTTTGTTTGAAGTTAGTGCTCAGATCATGTGATCGTATTGACCAATCAGATTGTCTGTGTTGGAATACCGGGCTTCGTTTTGTGGTGAGTTATGGGAACGTTAAACCCAAGTGTATGAGTGATTCTGGTGTGTTCTTGGAAATGTACGAACAGTAGGTCATGAACAATGTCATTTTTTTTATGGGATTTTGGCAAGGGAGCACCTTAGCCCTGGTCAGGTGATCATTGAATCGTTGTATCAGGACAGTGCAAAGTGGACAAATATGAACCAGTCAGCACCTAATGCTTATCTCCCCTTTAATTGCTTTCATGTCTGCTTCTGTTACCAGGATTCCCCGGTTGAACCTAACAAGGAATAGGGTTGCCTGGGTTTTCTCTGGCTTCTCCTGTTTCCTCCCACTGCTAAAGACCCCCTATGCGCAAGCAAATTATTGAAATAAAAATGAACTGTGTGTTAGTCCCAAACTGACCTGATTTGTGTCGAGCGGACGTTAAACCCCATTTCTCTCTCTCCCTAGTTGAAAGAGGGCGTAAACCTGTAGTAGTAGTAGATGACAAATTGATTTACATAAAAAACTATCACTGGAAGAACAGGGTTTTGATCGCAATTATGTCAGATTAGGGTGTAGTGTATAAATTAGAAAAAAAAAATAAATAAATAAATGAAATTGTATTTGTTGAAAAATTTTCTGTTGTTAAAATGAATCTTTATAGTTATATTTCATCTGTTCTTAAATTTAAATCTATTTTTCTAGAATTGTATACATTTTCTCTGTGACAAATTGATCCTATCACAATGCGAACTAGGACAGGCTTACCTCCCTTGTACAAACTATATGTACATCACGGGTTCCAAGTCAGCCATATCTGCCGGTCATAACCTATTGTGTTCAAAATTGACCGAGATATCTTGGGACCCATCGGTCAAATTATGTTCAGTAAAACTAGCATATTTTTGAAAAAAGCATTTTCAAACTGCCTAAGGCAAAATGGCCAATAGTTACACACAGTATTAAGTAGATTTACTCACTCATAGGATAGAGTTACCTCCCTTGTGGAAACTGTGGGCATACTTGCCAATAGATAGCATTAACCAGCTTTACTAATGCACGGACAACGTATTTAAACAAAAGTAAATAAGGTGGGTTGGACTAAATCTTATAGTTTTGCCATTTATTGTGAAAGTTCTTCATTTGATTCAAATATTTTACAAGTGACATATTATTAACATTATTGAAAAGCTGAATTATTTATATCGTAACATTTATACAAATATAATTAAACACCCTGCTGTTATATCTTTATCAGTATTATATTGTAAGAATTAATCCCTTTAACTTAACGTGTTGACATACCATTATTTTATCGAATTCCATATTTTTATGACAGACATCGAAAAACGATCACCAAAAGATTAATTTTAATAACCTTGAAAATTGTTATCGAATTTGAATATTTCAGTTAGACATTTCAGTGTAGATGCAGCCTTTTCTGTAGCTAAACTAGGATTTTAAATTATTTCTGATAATGCTTAATGTACATGGACTAGCGCATAATAATGACATATTTCTTTGTGATATTGCCTAAATCATTAGCAAAAACTACAACGATTTTTATTGAATTTGAAGCCAGCATTAAATTACAATTCTATAAACAGGTATTATTGTCAATATACCATGTAATTGTATCTATAAACAGGTATTATTGTCAATATATCATGTAATTATAATTTATTGATATATCTTCTATAAACAGGTATTATTGTCAATATACCATGTAATTGTATCTATCAACAGGTATTTCTATAAATATATCATGTAATTATATCTATAAACAGGTATTATTGTCAATATATCATATAATTATATCTATAAACAGGTATTATTATAAATATACCATGTAATTATAATGATATATCTTCTATTTGCTCACAGTAGATAAATATATATAGATAAATACAATATATACATAGGTCTGTTGCCTGTTATTTGTTAATAATTATTTTAAAGTATTGTGATAATTCTATAAGTTTGAAATATTTTAAAATTTCTGTATTTATTATTATTGCATACTCTTGTTGCCTGCTTGTTATTAATTATTATTATAAAGTATTTCGATAATTCTGTAATTATTATTATGAAGTATTTTAAAATTTCTATAATTATTATTTTGAATTATTTCATTATTTCTGTAATTAATGTTATGAGATATTGTGAAATATTTGTATTTATTATTTTGAAATATTTCCTGTAATTATTTTGAAGTATTTTAATATTTCTGTAATTATTATTATAATGAAATATTTCAATAATTATTATTTTGAATAATTTTAATATTTCTGTAATAATTATTTTGAATTGAAGTATTGTGAAATATTTCTGTTATTAATGTTTTTTTAAGTCTCTCAATATTTTTGTAATAAATAATTTTTAGATTTCTGTAATTTATGAAAAATTAAGATTCAATATGGACATTGTATGCCTATTTTACATGGATGTATATTAATCGGATCTCTATCATTTGCTTATGAAAACAATTATAATAAATATCTGTACATTTCTAATTTTATTGATTTAAATAACAGAATATTTTTTTCCTTTTTTATACAGTTTTTTTGTATAAGGTATCAGATAAATATATTTACTGGATTTTAATGTTATACATTGTGTATCAATTACTATGGCATAAAGAACTCATATTTTAATGTTATAGATTGTAAATTAAAAACTTCAGCATAGAGAACTCATATTTTAATGTTATAGATTGTGTATTAATAACTTCAGCATAGAGAACTCATATTTTAATGTTATAGATTGTGTATTAATAACTTCAGCATAGAGAACTCATATTTTAATGTTATACAATGTGTATTAATAACTTCAGCATATTATCATGATATAAAATCCAGATTTTGTTTGAAGTGCTCAGATCATGTGCTCATATTGACTATTGTTGGTATACAGGGATTTTGTGGTGTATTTTGGGAATTTTATTTTTATATAAGAGTGATTCTGATGGATTTGGAAGATATTTCACAAAATGATCATATCCCTAGCATTTAGTAATCAATTAAAATTTACTGTCTCTAGTTGTTGTTGTTTTGTGTGAGTAATTTATTAGCCTCAGTTATGGGGACAATGATTGTGGGTTTGGGAAACCTGGATTATACTTCCAGTGGCATTTAGAATTATAAACTATAAAAAATAATTAAAGATGCATATGTAAGTGTTAAATCTGTCTACTGCAGGTGTTTTTTTTGTGAGTGTTGGGGGGGGGGGAGTGAAGGGGAGGGGGAATCATATGTTTTATAGATTATTTTCTAGACATTTATTCACAAGACAAGCCTGTAATCAAATCTTTAGACCATCGGCTGGCTCAGATATTTAGAAGTTCAGACAGTTCACGTCATATCAGCATTAAGCATTAAATAATAATATGGCGTGCGATTGAAGGACTGAAAGTAAAGACTTTGTTTACTATGGTAGTAATGGTACCTTGAACCATCAATCGGTGGGGATAATTTAGGTTTTTTCTTGTCAGAACTTCAAACAATCGTAGCTTTCATCATTTTTCAATTTCTATTTATGAACTACTAGGGTCTTGACGATCATCCCCCCCCCACCAATTCTGTATATTCATATTCATTAAAATGTTACTTTGTGTATGAATCTTACTTTTGTTGATAGATTTTAGTTTTATTAGTTTTGACGACTTTGATGTTAATGATAGTTTTATATATATATTTATAGATATTAATTAAGTGAGTTCCAAATCATGTTTTATTTCCGATACATATCTTATAGATATTCAAGATAATGTAATTGTTACTGTTTTTGATTAACTTGAAAATCCAGACGAATCGTGTTGGTAATAACAAAATTAAATATTTATAAACTTCAAATGGAGAAACATTTTGTTTTTATGTCTATATACGGTCCTGGTAATATAATTGTTAAAGGTATATACAATAAAATATTTTAACCTTTTTTTCACTACTCATTTCATTGTCATAAGGAGGAGGGGGGTGGGGTTGACAAGGGTGTTGCACTTTGACCTCTAGCTGGCTGGTCACCTCTGGCTTGCGGTCGTGGTTTCAATCCCTGGTGTGAGCTTGCACATACGGGTCATTTAACAGTGGGAAAAAACTGGAGGACCCAGAGAAAACCCACGAGTTCCAATCCTTGTCACTTACAAGTGGGGAATCAAAACCACATCACATGACTCTATAACAGGCCTTGGGATCTAAAGCACATGCGCTAAACTATTCTGCCACCAACCCTTCCCTGTTCTTTGTTGTAAATATTGAAAGGAATTGAACCATATTTGAAGTGATATTCCTTTTGGAAACTAGGAGCGACAGTGGGTAAGATGGTGGCTCACCAGCCTGGAGGTCGTGTATTTAGTGGTTAAGTGGGTAAGATGGTGGCTCACCAGCCTGGAGGTCGCGTATTTAGTGGTTAAGTGGGTAAGATGGTGGCTCACCAGTCTGGAGGTGGAAACTAGGAGCGACAGTGGGTAAGATGGTGGCTCACCAGCCTGGAGGTCGTGGAAACTAGGAGCGACAGTGGGTAAGATGGTGGCTCACCAGCCTGGAGGTCGTGGAAACTAGGAGCGACAGTGGGTAAGATGGTGGCTCACCAGCCTGGAGGTCGTGGAAACTAGGAGCGACAGTGGGTAAGATGGTGGCTCACCAGCCTGGAGGTCGTGTATTTGATCCCTGCATTTGGAAACTAGGAGCGACAGTGGTTAAGTGGGTAAGATGGTGGCTCACCAGCCTGGATGTCGCGTATTTGATCCCTGCATTTGCCGAGAAAGGTCATCAGGACTTTCCAACCTGGTTTCCCCATAGTCAGTGGTGTAGGACGAAGGGCCTGACAAGGACAGCTGTCTAGTTGTTCAGATGGGATGGAAAACCGAGGTCCCGTGTATACATTGGTGTGCACGTAAAAGATCCCTTGGCAGATAGAATTCGATATAAGAGTAGGCCGTAGTGCCGCTGTCCAGGCAAAATTTCCCTTATAGCACACTGTATGGTGTATGCCCGTCTTCATTAGCCCACAATCACTCAACATCTCTAAGATTTCTAAACAAAAATGGGGGGTTGGATGGCCAAATGGTTAGCACGTGTGCTCTGTATCATAAGGTCTGTCATTGAGTCAACAGCGGTGGTTTCCCGGGGTCTCTCTCTCTCCCTCCCTCTCTGCCTTTCTCCATCTCTCTCTCTCTCTCTCAACAAAAATAAAAACAATTGTTGGGGTTTTTTTTAATATTTTATTGAAATGGAATGATTTCATAACTGGATGTTCCAACAAAACATCTGAAGTATAGTTTATCACAATAATAGTTATTAGAAATTAAACGGCTCATTCAACAGTTTTATTGACAATTAAATACTCTAAATACATCTTGATGACCAAGTCTATCATAATATACTAAATAAATTTCTTGACGACCAAGTCTATCATATACTAAATAAATTTCTTGACAACCAAGGCTATCATATCTTAACATCTGGCATATTCAACCAGCTGAGGGGAATAATCCCCATCGAGGCCATTTTCTTTCGGATTATCCTTCCTTAATCCCCTAACTGTAGCCATTTTTTTTCAGACTTGAAATTGAATTAAACAGAGACTTTTGCCCAGATGGCACCTCTTACAACTGTCAAGGTTTTTTTTTTTATGTGCATGCTATTGCTAGTGTGTAGATGAGGAGAGGACTTCTATTTTTTGTCCCATCCAAACGAATGGCCAGTATTTACTAGCCAGTCTCCTCAAAATTTAAACAAAATAAAAATCCCCACAATGCCAATATCGAAATATGATATATATGGCGTCTAGAATATTGTTTATAGATTAACTGCTATTATAAAGGCCTTATTGAACTATAGTCTGGATCATACCAGCCCATATATATAGTCTCTGCATCGTTTCAGACATTTCCCATAAGTCATTGCACAAACAGCCAGACAATCAGGAACCCTAGCAACCATTGTATCTATGGTAACCGACTGTACATTGACTTATGGGAAACAATGGTCTCAATCATTCTGTGTATTTTAAATACACAATAAAATCAAATACACAGCGAAGGTCATTTTTCCTTTCAACCAATCTTAAGGAAATAGAGAATATTCATATGACCTTTGACACTGTAATATACATGTACATGTAGCTCTGGTTTGTCCGGACTAGATTTGTGATACAGGAAGTGGGAGACAATATTGGCTCAATTGAGAGGTTAGATCTTTTTGATAAGGCCAATTTCAACTTAGGTCAAAGGTCAGGAGATGTACATGTAAACAAGGCTAGCCCTAATCCGAACCCTGGACCTAACCTTTAATCTAACAACAATCATGTGCCCTAACCTTATTTACATCTCAGCAACCTTGATGAAAACTGAGCTGGCCTTAACAAATAGATTTTGGTCAATTGAACTGGTGAAAAATAAATGAAAATGAGAAAAGTATAAAAAAAAATGAAGAGCTCTTGTCTAAAATATGATAATAACAATGTACATTGATAGAGAGCTCAAATCCATCCATTATATGGCATGCTGGGTTATTTTTTTTTTTCAGACACAAATTTTGAATTTCATTTCAAACCCTAAATCTTTCTTAAAACGAAAAACATAAAAAATTTATATGACTTTTCAAACACAACTTGAAGCAGATTTCCTGACAGATATTATTAAATATCAGGGTCAGATTAAAATTTTATGAGTTCCATGGGAAACCTGTTATAGTAGTGAGGCTCCCAGAAAGTCAAGTTACATGTTATGAATAAATGAAATGGATGCATACAGACAGCAGCTGATACAAAGTAAAGTTTTACAATGTTTACTACATATAGATATGAAGAGCCCCAGGGGAAGAACGATCTAAGTCACTTTTTCAATGAACCCCAGTTAATGGCGCCATCTGGTAACAAATTGTATAAGCTTTCTGTGGAACAATCTATTTCAGGTAAAAACGATCGGAGTCACATCAAACCAAGGCCCTTCTGAAATGGCCTCCCGGACAAATACATCCATCGTACCCTTTATTTGACCTTAATTTGGCTGAAAAGTGGAAGTCGGTTGTTGTACTGGTAATTATGATTCGTATTAAACATCATTTTGAAGTTGTAATTAAACCCATCCGTTGTCTGTTTTGCCTTTTATGCGAAAAGACAAAAATGTGACTTAGATCGTTCTTTTCCTCGACTCTTCATATGTATCCCGATCAAAACCTCTTTGAAATAAATAATTCAGATTATCTATACTTAGATTCACCATTCACAAATAAAATAACTTTTTACTTAATCTTTATAGACACTGCCGAGTTGGCCCCAAGTTAACAAAGCATTCTCAGACTTAAGTTAAGAATTTACTCATAATTGTTTGCCTTATTTCAACTAAAATATAGCCCTTTATAAAACTTTTGTTGTTTTAATGTATCAAATACATCAATAAGAAACTATATGCAAAGTTTTGTGTTTCTGGATCAAAGATATTTCTCATAAACAGTGACTGAAAGTTGAGTAAATTTTTAAATTAAGTCTGAGAATGCTTTGTGAACTTGGGGCCAATTTGGGGCCTTAATAATAATTTCTGGAGGTCCTCTAGGTTGTGGAGGCATTGGGCTGCAACCCCAGAGGCCCAGGCCTTGGCTACTAATTACAGATGTAGACAACCCATCATGCAATATTCACATGTGGGATGTATTACTGGGTGATAGTGAGACAAGGTGCAAGGGAAAAAAAACATGGCTTTTAGAAAGGGAAACTTAATATTACATTAAACATGCATTATGCAAGAGCTAAATCTGCCTATTGCATGTCTTTCTTTAGGTCTGAAATGTTATCTAAAGTATTAATTAGACATTAATTAACCTATCCAGGCCATAATCAACTCTAGATGGCAGCGCTAGCCTGCGATCTTTAGTGGATTGTAAGCCGATTTACTGCATAACTTTCCTTCTTGATTAAACAATTAAATGGATAATCGAGACTATGCTGTTTATCGTACTGACTTTAGTAATGATGACCTAGGCTTATGGGAATTTCAGTCCTTTAGTTCTTGGTTCATAGTGGATCAATTTGAATGAAATTTTCACCAAATTGCCTTTACATTATCTAGTTTTTAACTATTATAGTGAGAACTGCCAACTCGTTAACGAATCTCCCATAATGTATCTTTAATATAATGTCTTGGAATTGAACTCTTCAAATGTAAAAAAATTTGTTAAAAAGGTATAAAAAAAAAGAATATAGCACATACTGGCACCAAAGAGAGCAAGATTTTACGAATGGAACTAGCGTTTGGAATAATTTTTTACATGATAGTTTTAAAAATTGTCTATCAATTAGCTAAAATATATTACAAGACCACGTCAATCTGAATTTTTGTTGCATATTTTTTTTGCAAAAATATATACTGCTTTAAATTATTTTCCAAAACAGTGCTTGAATCTTTTAGTTCCAATTTTAAAGTTTTGAAAGTTTAAAAAAAATCTTCCAAAAGTCTTAATGGTAATGATTAATTATTTACTAAGACCCATTAAACGAAAACTACAATTGACCTAAATGATGAAAACATAGTTTTTTAACCCGATGTCTCAATTTCTATTTAAACAATTTTGTGGCCATATATGCATCTCTTTACACTGTAACCCGGGTATTATTTAATCTTGTGTATCTAGCACTAATTTCTTTCACATTCGTTTAATATCAAATCTATATTTAAAAATTTGTAAAAATCATTTAAAATCCCCATAAATCATCTAATTTGTACTTGTGTCCAGTTTACGGCTGATTGATTAATTTGATAATGAGTCTCCAATATACAAGTGTTAAAAAGGTATAAAAAAAAAGAATATAGCACATACTGGCACCAAAGAGAGCAAGATTTTACGAATGGAACTAGCGTTTGGAATAATTTTTTACATGATAGTTTTAAAAATTGTCTATCAATTAGCTAAAATATATTACAAGACCACGTCAATCTGAATTTTTGTTGCATATTTTTTTTGCAAAAATATATACTGCTTTAAATTATTTTCCAAAACAGTGCTTGAATCTTTTAGTTCCAATTTTAAAGTTTTGAAAGTTTAAAAAAAATCTTCCAAAAGTCTTAATGGTAATGATTAATTATTTACTAAGACCCATTAAACGAAAACTACAATTGACCTAAATGATGAAAACATAGTTTTTTAACCCGATGTCTCAATTTCTATTTAAACAATTTTGTGGCCATATATGCATCTCTTTACACTGTAACCCGGGTATTATTTAATCTTGTGTATCTAGCACTAATTTCTTTCACATTCGTTTAATATCAAATCTATATTTAAAAATTTGTAAAAATCATTTAAAATCCCCATAAATCATCTAATTTGTACTTGTGTCCAGTTTACGGCTGATTGATTAATTTGATAATGAGTCTCCAATATACAAGTGTTTAATTTCCTGACCTCTGTTCAAAAATCAATCATTATACATCAATAATCAATTGGGTTGTTTATTTTCTAACAGTGATAGAGAAATTAAACACTTGTATATTGGACACTAATTATCAAAATTGAATGGTGAGCTTTAAACTGGACACAAGTAGAAATTAGATGATTTTAAATGATTTTTACGAATTTTTAAACATAGATTTGATATTAAACGAATGTGAAAGAAATCAGTGCTAGATACACAAGATTAAATGATACCCAGGTTACAGTGTTATTTTCCACATATATTTTGATTAATCAATTCCTTGAGGAAAACAAGCACCTGCTACAACACATATAACATGATGGTTCTACTAGTGGTCTTATCAGTCATTATTTTACATATTACTCCAGTAATAATAAATATATTGCACTAATATTAAATTCTATAATTAACAACGCGTACTAGAAAATAAAATAATTAAATCTAGTAAATTAGGAGATCAGTATGCTAGTTTAATACAAATAGGCTACTAAAGGTCAAGGCTGCAATTAATAACAGCCCCAGGCCCATGTCTATTTAGGGATATTCGCAAAAAGGACAATATCGCTTAATTCTTTATCAAAAACTACAATAAAATTAATATACTTAAATATACTAAGTTTCGAAAAATATAACTTAAAGCCTGTTTTATAAGGATTCAACAACAAGGGAAATAACTCTAATCATCAAGACTGACTGCATTAATGTCCCTATGGGAACCAGGATTTGAATGTAAAAATATATCTGCCATATCAAAAAATTTCCATAAATTACTATATCATAAACACTAAAACATACTAGAAAGTTTTTAAAAGTTTGACTTACAGCTTGTCTACAAGGTTTCAATAAGGGAAATAACTCTAAAAGAATTGAAAGAATACTGGTAACCCTATATATTGAGATATGCCCACTGTTATATACAGCAGTCCTGCATGAAACAACTGATAATTTCATACCTTCTACACGATGTACAATCCTACATTCAATCTTATCTAATTTTTTAAATTAAATATTTTTGTCTTGACTCTAAAAGCTAAAGTGGCCATTGAGCACCTCCAATTAAATTGAACAAGTTTAATCCTAAAAAATCTTATTAATAGCTTGGTAACCAATTTTAAATTGAGCTGTATCTGAATATAAACATAGTATTACTATGCAATGTCCCACTCGGCAAACCTCAGCAGATTCCAGTACCCTACATCTAGCCTCGGCTGTATGACCAATCCGCCATTAGAACTACTTTCAAGTTCCCAGATTACCAACGGCGTTGCCCATGACGACGCCTTAGAAGAATGTTTTATCATACAAATATTTCAAAGTCTATAGCTGTTTTTCTTTCAAGTTTATCCGATTTTCTTCAAATTTGGACAACTTTGTACTGAAAATTCTACTCATGCTTCGAACGACGCAATTTTAATAACTTCTTTTTAAAAGTAAACCGGTGCCGCATCGCAATTGTATAGGCGTAGGTACATATCACTTATCATCATACAGCCGGAGCTAAATGTAGAGTAACGGAATCTGCTGAGGTTTGCCGAGTGTATATGTCCATGAGCAGCATTGTGATGGGTGGCTTCAGAGTTTTCAGGGGCAATAACTACACATAAAATTGATTCACACATGAAATGAAGACATACAAATAGCACTATATACTTGAGTAGTTTGTTAATAGAAGCCATTCTTGATTTGTAAAACTGACATGTTTTAAAGATGCAGTTTGTCTATTAGCAAAGAGAGGGGCCATGGTGGCTAGGTGGGTAAGTTATTGGCTCTCTAACTTGGAGGTCGGGTGTTCGATCCCTGCATTGGATAGAGAAAGTTTATCCAGATTTTCCGGCGTGGTTCCACCTTGTCAGTGGCACAGAACTGAGGTCCTGGCAAGGGACAACGAATAGTCGTTCGGAAGGGACGGAAAACCGAGGTTCCGTGTACACATTGGTGTTCATTTCATTTCTATTAGCAACGAGCTAAAATCTGTATCAGAATATCAGATCTTATCCAATGAAAGGCCTCCATCTTTAAATATGTCAGTTTCAGATCTTATAAATAAGACACCTAGCGCTTTATTCACAAAGACAAATTAAAATATTTTTACAACGTAGTCTTTTCATGGGCTAAGAGCTAACATTTGTATTAAGATTTTAATTTTTAGCCAATGAAATGACAGCACCTTTAAATAATTTAGTTTATAATCAAAAGTTATCATGAAAGTCTCAAAGTGTATAGCACTAAATATTAAGGCCACTTGCAGATTTTGTCACGGTAACGAGACGTAAACAGAGCTAGGGCTAAATGCTAACCCCAACCCACAATCCTCGGCAACAATCACATGCCCCAACACTGTTTACATCTCGTGACTATGACAAAATCTGCAACCGGCCTTAATATTTAGATCTAACCAACTCGAAGTCTATAGTGTGTAGCACTGACTAATATTCAATACCAATTCATTACCTAAGCAAAACTAATATGGACACTTAATATTTCAAAACATTAAAAATATGTAACATATTGAATATGGCTTGTTGATAAATACACATAGTTTGTTTTCAATATTTATAGATACACCTGTCCTGGTAAATAGACGTAGTTTGTTTTCAATATTTATGGATACACCTGTCCTGGTAAATAGACGTAGTTTGTTTTCAATATTTATGGATACACCTGTCCAGGTAAATAGGATTTTAATATAAAATGTATCCTACATGTCGGTGGAGATTATCCATATTATTGTAAATTATATCATCACCATGGGTCAAAAACGTAAGCAAGAATCTATTAATCCTGGTAGAATATTTCAATATGTTTCTATAAAAGTAGATCTGATGTCATACACCATCCCAGAGAGCAATTTAATCATCGTAAGAGTTTTAACCTCGTACAAATCAAGATTCAGTAAACGGTTTATTATTTCTACCTGACACCATGTCTATTTCTTTTAATCCACATTAAATTTATGACACATAATTTTCTTGTTTTACATCTTGAACAGATTATGGCCTGCAGAACAAGGCCTGCAGAACCAGCCTATAGAACAAACCTGTAGAACACCGCCTATAGAACAAGGCCTATAGAATTAGGCCTATATAACAAGACCTGTAGAACAAGGCCTGTAGAACAAGGCCTGTAGAATGATGATATACGTTACACACATAAATATATATTAGTTTACAACAAGCCTATTATTAATAACAATAATCATGACAGTAATAATTATGATGGCCAGCCATGTTTCTCATAATTATATTCCATCAGCAAACAATAAACTACAACTATCAGGCCATAACAATCTTAATTTATGTTCTTTCAGATCCCCAAATAAATTGTGGTTTAACGTCCTACTGTTCTGCTCCAAACTGGGATAATGAAGACGGGCATACAGTGTGCTATGAGGGAAATGTTGTTCAGAGAGCAGCACTGTGGCCTACTCTTATATCGAATTCCAACTGCCAAGGGATCTTTTACATGGACACCAATGTGTACATAAGACCTCGGTTTTTCGTCCCATCCGAGCGACTAGATAACTGTTCTTGTCCTTTCAGATCCCGAGGGTGGGTGGCTGAATGGTTAATGTATCAGAAGGTCTGTCTTTGAGTGGCGTGGTTTCGATTCCCTGCATGCACATCCTCCCACTGTTAAAGACCCCAACCCACAAGCAAACTAATGAAATAAAATTGAACCATATGTTAGTCCCCATATTTGTTAAACCCCATTTTTCTCACTCTCATTGCGATTAAAATTTTGTTTCCTATTCCTTCAGGTAAAAAATACGACTAATTTAAAAACAAGGAGTACTTCAAATTTTTACTTTTATATTTTAAGCAAAAATTTGTTCACAGGATTCGAGTGGCTATGAAACATTCCAAAAAACACAAATTGAAATTGGTATGGCCGTGTTGTACCAAAAAGATTAAAGCTTCAAAAGAACACTAACTTACCAGAAGACGTAAATAATTACGTTCTTTGCGGATAAAAATTGACATGAGCAGCTCATTATATGACAGCACTAACGTATATTTACGTGACAAATGATTTGCATACCAGCATTTTTATCGCCACAGTCTGTAACGCTGTCTTCCACATCGCAAAAATTATTTTTGACGTGTTTGATGCAAGAATATTTGCCATACGTTTAGTCACGTCACACTTTTGTTTCTATGTTTTGCGTTAACTGTTTTTGCTGCTGATCTTGTTTTTGTCGTTCTTTCTCTCTATTTAGTGCGGCCCTGTACGCCTCATATGACATCACAAGTTGTTCTAGTTCCTGTTTATACAGGCGAATAATCAACGCATCGAAATATTCTAATTCATTCAATCGAAATAAATCCCACTGAAACCAAAAACAAAGGTGGAATTAACTCAACAGGAACTAATTCAAATAACAGAAGATTTGACAATTTTTTTTTTAAATTAACAAAGAAATTCATATGTAGTATTATCAATATCTTATTATGTTCTTTTCATATACAGTAGACTCTGTCAAATCCGACATCGTAAGGGATCGTTATAATATGTCGGATTACGCAGAATGTCAGAATACTCAGTTTTCTCAAAATAGGAAGTATTATTGTAACTTCCAAAACAGGAAGTATTATTATAATGTAGCTTCGAATCCCTATAACATTATTCCCTTCTGTGTAAGTCGTGGAGCTTTCTCGAAATCTGCTGTAAGTTGCTGCTTGACATTGTATAATGATTCTTATAATGGTCCCTTTATTTGACTTGAGAAACTAAAATCAAATACCAAATGCTCTCTTAAAAGAGATTATCAAATTATAGAGGTAATGTCGTAGTATTCAGATGTCGGATGTGACAGAGTCAATTGTACGAGGTAATTCAAAAACATTTACTATTGTCACGCAAAATCTGATTTAAGGCTAGACATTTCATGTGTTCAGGTATAATTGCGAGTGTAATACACCTGGGTATATCTAATAATAATTCCTGACCCAGCAAATTCGGTGTTTTAAGACAGCCAATGAAATGTATGCCACAGAGTGAATTTTATAGATTATATAAGACTTGTAGAGCTGGGGTAATCAAGACTATATAAGACATGTAGAGCTGGGGCAATCAAGACTATACACGATATGTTGAGCTGGAGTAATCAAGACTATATAAGATATGTACAGCTGGAGTAATCAAGACTATATAAGCCATGTACAGCTGGAGTAATCAAGACTATATGACATGTAGAGCTGGAGTAATCAAGACTATATAAGATCTACCTTGAGTTTATGATCATGTTCTGGTTGAGCTTTAGAATAAACAACCAACCACTGTGGTATCTCTGTTAAAATATACAAAAAAATATATGACAGATTCATCATTTATAAGGTCTTCCATTTATTGTAGCTGATTAAGATACTTTTCTGGGAAATGAAATGGGGATTTAACATATTACTTGTCTGCTTTCAGATCTGCCTGGCAGGTCTAGTTATAATTATGTCCATAAACATATTCTTACAAGAAGAAGAGAGAGAAATGGGGTTAAATGTCCATGCAACAAAACTAGGTCATTTCAGGACTAACATATGATTCAATTTTATTTCAATATTTCACTTGTGTATCTTTGGCAGTGGGAAGAAACCGGAGGACCCGGAGTAAACCCACGAGGTTGGAAGGCAACCCTACTCCTTGTCGCGTACAACCGGGGAATTGAAATCATGTTACTTGACTGAATGACAGACCTTATGATACAGCGCCCACGCTTTAAACCATTCAACAGGGAGAATTTGAATTTGTATATAAACAAATGAATGCATAGTATGTAAGGTTGGCCACCATTTGTATAGATAACGATACAGTAGACGATTTATAAGGTTATATAAATAACGATACAGTAAACGATTTATAAATTACCTTCTTTAAGATAAGGATTAGCTGGTACGAGTACGTTAGATTGTCGTGGTTGTTGATATTCTAGTTGCTGTGGTAACTGTTGTATTTGTGGACCATCGTAATTAAACACCATGTTAAACCTCGGTACTGACGGAGCACATGGATGGTGAATCTGAGCGGTTTTCAATATATGGCTAAAAAATAAAATAAAATGGGGCTAACATATAACGATTTTATTTTAACGATTACGCAGGCAATCTAGGGCTATATAATAAAGTGGTGATTTTATTTTTATATATGTACAATGTACAATGCAAGATAGGATTTTGCCTGAGCAGTGGACACAAGCTGTAGGATTTTGCCTGGGCAGTGGGCACAAGCTGTAGGATTGTAGTTAAACGAGGTAAACCTTTTTGATATAGGTCAGAACATTAATAATCTTATAGACATGTACTTCCAGACCCAGATATTTATCAAGCAGACATACTCTGTCGAGTCTGGGTAATCAAGAGTGAAGCAGATGTAGACTACTGTTTAACTAATTTGAGCAACTCTGCTGTCTTTTCTGCAATGTGTTAGAAAATCTACAGTTCCTAAATCTCGTCAACTCGCTCCAAAATAGCTAGTCACGCAAATCACCTGAGTCTATATTTGGGTGGGTAGTCATCTACTCTCCATCAGTTTGTTTCCAACCAGCCCTTGTGATGGAAGTTAATCTGATACCCCTTCTCATTTGGGGAGTTCATATAGCTATCCTTCTTGTGAAGTACTGTTGTATTGGTAGATGTTGTACATTAGACAGAGTATGCTTACTCTCTCTAGAACATATGATACCACTTGGTATCCTCTAGCTATATGTGGTGATGGGTATCATGTGTGAGGCAGGGTATACTTGGTCTTTCTAGAACAGCTGATACCACCTAGTCTAGATATATAGTATTGATATATGTTGTACATGATACAGGGCATGCTAACTATTTCTAGAACATCTGATACCACTTAATCTAGATATATAGTATTGATAGATGTTGTACATGAGACAGGGTATGCTTTCTCTCTCTAGAACATGTGATACCACTTCTCATTAGAGAGAAATGGGGTTTAACGTCCACTCAACATGAACTATGTCATTTTGGCACTAACATATGGTTTTTAATTTATTTCAATAATTCGCTTGTGCGTAGGGGTCTTTAAGCAGTGGGAGGAAACCGGAGGACCGTGAGAAAACCCACGAGGTTGGACAGGCGACACTACGCCCTGTCACATATAACCAGGGAATCAAAACCATGCCAGTTGACTCAATGACAGACCCTATGATACAGCGCGCACATGCTAACCATTCGGCCATCTAACCCCCATTTCTCATTAGCTAACATTGTTTAACTTACTTGACGTAAAATACTCCATGTTCTTTCGATTCAATTCGTTCCCATCCCATGGGTAAACTTTCTTTCTCTAATGGATGACTCCAATGTGTGGTTTGAGTATTATGGTCTATATAGTATTTTTTACCTCGTAAAGTCCAATCAATCGACCAGCCTGGAGGTAACGGTATTTCTTCTGATCCACCAAAACTATCTGAAAATAGTAATAACTTGATTGTCCGTTCCCACAAACTACACCCACCACCTAACTATTAACGACACGGAGAACTATCGACTTTCAGTACAGATCTCTGTCCTGAATGACCACCATGTCGAAAAAAATATTGTACTATTTCTGAAAATAGTAATAACTTGGATGTTCGTTCCCACAAACTACACACGTCACCTAACCATTAACAGAACAGAGAACTATCGACTTTGAGAACAGATCTTGACCCTGGATGACCACCATGTTGAAAAATTACTGTAATATTTCATTATACTGTTCTAATCCATTTTACATCTCTTTCATACAAACAAAATGAAATGAAATGGGGTTTAACGTCCTACTGTTCTGCTCCTATACTGGGCTAATGAAGACGGGCATGCGCCATACAGCGTGCTATGAGGAAAATTTTGCCCGGACAGCGGCACTACGGCCTACTCTTATATCAAATTCCAACTGTCAAGGGATCTTTTATGTGCATTCCAATGTATACACGGGACCTCGGTTTTTCGTCCCATCCAAACGACTAGACAGCTGTCCTTGTCAGGTCCTCCGTCCTGCATCACTGACAAGGGGGGAACCACGCTGGAAAATCTGGATGAACTTTCTCGGACAATGCAGGGATCGAACACCCGACCTCCAGTTCATACAAATATGAAAAGAGAAGCAGAATAATGAAATTCTCAAAATTCTCCAATTATCCTAGCTTAGTGTTTTTCACTCAAATTATTAATGTAAGAATTCAAATATCAGTCAGGTAGTTTCTACCTACTCATCATCGAATTCAGGGGATCTTTTACGTGCACTCCTGTATGTGAAAGAGGAAGAGGGAGAGATAGGAGGGGTGATGGGTGTTTAAGATTTCAATCAACACTTATTCTGTTGGGATATCTTTATCACAATAATAAGCCCTTGACGGGATCTTTAGCAGTTGGTAGAAACCGGGGAACCCTGACAAGGTCTGGTAGAAACCAGAGAAAACCAACAAGTTCTGGTAGAGGCCTGGAATCAAAAACAGGGATAACCAACAATGTTAGGCGGGCAAAACACTAATCCTAGTCTGGTAGAAGCCGGAGATCAATACAACCTTATGATCTAAAGCGTGGGTTATACCACCCGGCCACCCATTGAATATCAGACCCAGAGTATAATAATACATAAAATAAAATAAACATACTTGTTGCTGGGGACGACGAGACAGTAGACATAATACCATCACCATGGTGATTTGCTGCCGAATACACAACATTTCCACGATCACCGCTAAACGTGCTATTTGTCTGACTTCGGTCACCTGACATCAACGCCAGAACTTGATTACCATGCTCTGCGGGTGACGCCATTACGCCACGTTGTTCCGAATTATGATATAAGTTCATGACTGGCGTGGCGCGATCAATGGACGATAACTGACTTGATCGGTCACTGGATATAGAAGAAGTCGGTTGGCTAGAATTATCTGATGAAAGACTAAATAAATTAGACGTTTGGTTGGCGGCTGTGTTTTGTTGAGCGTAATAATTGCGTATTTCTTGATGATATTGTTGTATTTGGTAATTATCATCATGTTGTTGTAAACTAGAATATTCTGTATTACCTTGACCTTGGTTATGGTAATGAGACAGCTGACCATCCGTCTTCTCTTCTTCAAAACAAAATTTTTTATAAATAAAGACAGGTAATAGAGTTTAATATCCATCCAACACAAACTAGGTCATTTTGAGACTAACATATGATTCAATTTAGCAGTGAGAGGAAACTGGAGCAACTGGAGTACCCAGAGAAAACCCACGAGGTTAGAAAGGTGACCCTACTTCTTGTCACAACATACACGTGGGAATCAAAACCTCTCCACTTGACTCAGTGACAGACCTTATGGTCTAAAGCACACGTTACACCATTCGCCCACCAAATCCCCAAATAAAGCATAACAAAATGGAATCTGAAAAAAGGCCTCATTCATGAAAACTTAAATTAACATGTACTTTAAGAATGCAGGATTTTCATTGGCTGGGTCTAAAAATCATCGCACAAATTTTAGCTCACAGTCAATGAATATGCTCGGTACAAAAATCACAAATTTCAGCTCACAGCCAATGAAAAGGCTGGGCACAAAAATCACAAATTTTAGCTCACTACAGTCAATAAAAAGGCTGGGTACAAAAATCACAAATTTTAGCTCACAACCAATCAAAATGATACATAACGGCCACAACCAATCAAAATGATATATAACGGCCACAACCAATCAAAATGATATATAACGGCCACAACCAATCAAAATGATACATGTATATAACGGCCACAATAAATCAAAATATTTCACGAATGCAGTCTTTTCATTGGCTGGGTCCAAAATCCCCATATAAATTTTAGCTTACAGCTAATTAAAAGGCTGCTTTCTTAAAATATTTCAGAAGTCTACTTAAAATACCGATGCAACATCAAATAATGTATGAGCAATGTGCCAGTGGTACAATATATAAAACTAGATGAAATATTGGACTCACATGATGGATTTCATTGAAATGTACATGTAGGATAGTGTCTGTATTTTAAGTTGTTTTATGTGTAATATATTGAAACAACGCCCGGACAGTATCAATATATTACTGTAGATTTATGTATTAGGCTATATTTTATTAAATCAGTTGATTTATCTGGGACCGAGTTCACAAAACATTCTCAGACTTGAGAATTTACTCAAATTTCAATCACTGTTTATGAAAATTATCTTTGATCCGGAAACACAAAACTTTAAACATAATTCCTTATTCATGTATTTGATACATTTAAACAACAAAGTTTTATAAACGGCTGTATTTTTAGTCCTTCAGGGTTTTTAAAACTAGCTAGTTGAGCCCTGAACAACATTAAAGATACATTATGGGAGATAAGATAAAGAGATGGCAGTTCTCGCTATAATAGTTAAAAACTAGATAGTGTAAAGGTAATTTGCTGAAAATTTCAGTCAAATTGATCCACTATGAGCCGAGAAAGAAGCGGTTGAAATTTTTGCATAGTCTCGGTCATCATTACTAAAATCATTAATATAAACAGCATAGTCTCGATTATCCACGTTTTCTGATTTAATTATCAACGACCGTTAGCGGCATATAGGAATCTAATCCAGCCAACATCGTAGGCTAGCCTTGACATCGAGAGTTTATTATGGTCTGGATAAGTTAATTAATGTCTAATTGATAATTTAGATAACATTTCAGGCCTAAAGAAAGGCTTGTAATAAGCAGATTTTGCTCTTGCATAATGCATGTTTAAGTATAAAATTTCAAAAACTAAAATTTTGAGAAGAGTATTTTAATACATGTGGCCAATTTCTAAAAGAAAAGAAATAAAATAAAATTTGGCCTTATTTAGGTTTGATCAAATTATATGATAAAATCTAAATTTGAATTTTCAGGTCATAGGCCATCAATGTACCATTATTGTCATTACCAATAAGTTGACGCTGGCGCTAAAATATCTTTTTTTACTTGACATTAAATTAATTGATAGTTTTATAAAATTTATAACAAACCTTCACGAGAAGCTGTTGTCATGTTTTTAGCAGCAGAGTTATTGCCCCTTTCTTCTGGTTTAATCTGGAGTTGTGGAGTGGATGAGACAACGTGTTGTGACGGATGATACGCGACACCATGGCTCGTACCAGCTATTAATGGAGATTGACCGGTTTGATGAGAGAATGCGATACCAACTGTTCTAGGAGCACTACTTGTAATATAGGTATCACCCCACGTGTTAGCGGGAGAGGCTATACGTAGATTATGTAAACCTTGAGTTAACGGTGATGCCGTGTTCGCGTTGTGTATTTGTTGTAGATGATGTTGTTGATATAGATGTATCTGTCTGTCGGTCACGGGTCCGGGAGAAACTGACGAATGTAAATTGACTGGGTTTGAAAGACGTACAGATGAAGGGACAATAGATGGAGCGAATTGTCCTCCTGTAGCAGACACCTGTTGGGGAATGTATGATGCTGGGTTTCTGGTTGTTCGTCTTGGTGTACTGTTACCAGGTCGTACTGGCGTATGATAATCTGAAAAATATTTTTAAAAAAAACATTAAAAATGTTTACGATGCAAATATAGTTTGTCAATCAATAAACATCTTTTTGCACAGGGCTCCACAATTTCTCCATCAATGTCCTAACCAAATTTTTTTATTTTCAGTTGTGGCTAATTCCATGCCAATTATGTTCCACACTTGAACAAAAATAAAATGATAAGGAGGAAGTTGAATGCAATGTTTTTTCAATATAATTATGTTGAAGTTATTTAAATTGAGTTGATATTTTATCTGTCTTACGTTATCACCAAAATACGAGGCGCCAAAGTTGTTGGTCATTTTTAAAAAAATAGTTATGATTTAGCAGCCTAAATTTAATTTGCTCTGTTGTAATAAAATAGGGGTAGAAAATAATGATAGTGGCATATTTGACGTGTCTTCAAGTTCAACTGTCTATATTTCTGTTTTGGATATGTACATGTATGCCTATGTTTCAAATCATATATCCATAATTCTTTTAGCAGAGAAGATCAATTTGACTTACAAGTGTCACGGGGCCCATTGCCTAGAGTAGGCCTCTATTCTGCAAAGAGTCAGACAAATCTAAAGGACAGTACTACAGTACTGGTACCTGAATGGTTTAATCAGACCTTTCATAAATACTGCAACTATATAGTGTAATCAGTCACTCTCTCTTCAATACAAACTCAGCAAGTAAATGGCTAGTACAAACTATTCTCTTTAATTTATTGTGGTCTATTTTCACTTCAAATCTGCCTTTGACTTTGTCATTATAAACAATGCCACTGAATCAACCCTGGCTTTACCTGATATTTTGCTGATATTTTGAGAGAGAGAGAGAGAAATGGGGTTTAACGTCCACTCGACACAAACTAGGTCATTTCGGGACTAACATATGGTTCAATTTTATTTGCATAATTCGCTTGTGCGTAGGGGTCTTTAGCAGTGGGAGGAAACTGGAGGACCTGGAGAAAACCCACGAAAGTTGGACAGGCGACCTTACTCCTTGTCACGTACAACCGGGGATTCGAAACCACGCCAGTTGACTCAATGACAGGCTTTATGATACAGAGTGCACGTGCTAACCATTTGGCCATCCAACCCCCCAAGGTATCCGGTAAAAATACAGAATATAGACAAATTTGTAAGGGCACCACAGCTAGGTATTCTACCTGATAAACTTGGACCTGACAATATCAGTGACTGGTGCCTTATTTCCAGACATTTCAGGTACTGGTATGTCATTATAACAATTGTATAGATGTCAAACTTACTGCGTAGCATCGGAGGTGTGTCTCTTTTAATATATCGACCAGCAATTCCCTCATTTAATCCTGAATCTTTCTTCTTGGAATTTGACAACATTCGCTTTTTATCCATTTTTAAAGCCAACAGTTATTATTTATACAAACTTAATGATCAGAGTATCAGTGAAACCATGTCATTATCTTTAATTCACATTTGGTCTGGATTTGTTGTCCGTCTGAAAACTTGAACTCTTGGGAGGGTCTTCACATGTCACTTGACACATAATTTATTCTTATTAAATATTTCAGATTCAAGATGGACTGTTGTACATCTTTCAAATAAATCCATCATTCACGGCACACATTAACAAATTGATAATCTGTATAAATCTGTGACTAATACTAGCAGGTAAAGATCTATATTTTATATTTAGGCCTATAAGTTTAGTAATCAACAGTGCTGTCATTGAAAGTAATCACAATAAAATCATCTAATTTATATCCACTCAAGTAGATTAGAAATGGCTACATAACAAACCATCAAATATGACCTCGAAATAACGGAAATAACTCGAATTACGGTAGAAAATTCGATGATTAAAACTTTTATTAACTTTGCAGGAAATGGCTTCTCGCACCCGCATGTGTACTACGTCACGATTATTTGCCGTTATAGAGCGGAAGTGATGTTTTCAGCGTTGTTTTTGTGTTTACCTTAGCAACAGCACACCAGGGAAACCGTTTATTGAGCCGAATAAAACAAATGTAGATTAAAGCAACAAGAAATACACTAGAAAAGGTACACCGTCCGTAAAAAACTAGCAAAGCTGTTTATTTATCAACAGGAGAAGGTAGGAAGCTGTAAAAATGTCTTCGACACAACAAAACGAGGCAGGATCGAAGCCGAGCACTCCACCAACAGAAGGTTCTGCACCGATCAGTACGAAAGAAAACGAATTTATCAAAGCCAAATCTTATCTTCTCACAGCAAGCACGAACACAGGAATAAATCTGTAAGTTATGGATTGTTATAAAAACACACTGACAAACATATCTAGTTGATTCTACTAGATGTTGTTGGACTAGTTAGCCAATTTAATTAAATGACACGCATTGCACCACTGTCGGCACTGTTGGGAGCTTCAAAGAAACTCTCACACTCCAGAGCTTCCAGAGCTACTAGAGCTGCACTCTTTTCCGGCGCACAATATGTACAGCAGGACCCTGCGCTGTATACCCACAGATACAGAGAGATGAAATCATTACTATTAGGCATTAGGCCTATTTTGACAGACTTATGAAACCGTGTCAGTGATATGCTTATCGAAAATCCAAGCAGTTAGGCTAGTCTCTAGAATACATCTCCTTCTTAACATATGACTTTTTTTAAACAAAAGTAAAAACAGACTTTTTTCACATTTTAATAAGATATTACCTTTTAATTAACTTGGTGTTGAACATCAATTAAATAGAAATAAAGAAAAACATAGCTGTTGTTGTCAGTGTTGAATCAGATATAATTTCTGGACGTTTGAGCATTGAGATAATCACAAACTAAGTTTTTTTATTTATCTGGCCTAATTTAATCACATCGGCTCATTTGGATTTGGTATTAGACTTGATCTAAGTACAGTAGCCTATTTATAGTTACTGGGCTTTAAAGTCAGGTTACTACCGATTCTTGATACTCTGATGAACCATTATAAACATTGACAAAAATACCAAGCTTGCATGAAGAAAAAAACAAAATAAATAAATGATTGTTTCTTTAATATTTTCAGCTATGATCATTTATCTCGAGTTTTAACAAGAGTTTTAGATGAGAGACCTGATAATGTTGCTGATGTTATTGAAGATATTAGCAAAGATACGAAAAGATCTAAATTTACATCCGATACGGACACAGTTCAAGATAAACTTGATAAATCTACAGAAGTAGCACTAGCCCAGTTACAGAAAAAACTTTTCTCAGTAAGTCATATTATGTCCTTAAGACAATATTGGGTCTTTGAAAAAAATGTTGCTTCACTCTTTCTATAAGAGTCAAATCAACGTACTTAATGAACGTGAATGATATATTTATATATAAAAAACAGTTATATTTTGGTAAAATCCTAATCATTGTCAAAATATCCATCAAATTCTATCTGTTTATTGACCTCTGGTTGGTAGATACCAAATAACAATAAAATTGTAGGAACTATTTAACCTGTAGTGTTATATATTACGATCACGATGTAAACAAACACAACAAGGAAGTCTGATAGTACTACAAATTGAACTCTCGAATTTGAATAGTCTTTAAAGTAGTTCAAAGTCGATCTAAACAGAAATTTTAATATTCAATGTTAATATAAAAAAAAAATAATGGAATAATTAATTGTTATTATTCTCCTTTAGAGTTTGTTAAGAATCAAATAGACCTTGTTTTAAACAGTAAAGTTTGATTATAAAAAAAAAACTCTGATAAAAAGTTGTTTCAAAAATTTTGTACATGAACCATTTTTAACCAGACTTTAATCGGACTGATCCATTTTTAACTGGACTGATCCATTTTTAATCGGACTAATTTTTAACGGGCTGATCCATTTTTAACCGGACTGATCCATTTTTAACCGGACTGATCTATTTTTATTGTAGAAAGGTGAAGGAGAAGAAGATGAAGCTCAGCCAGATGAAGAAGTAGAGACACCATTACCTAATTTAATGGAATTATGTTTTTATTTTGAACAAGCTGCTATTGGTTTGAATAGAGAGGAAGTTATCAGAGTTTGGTTAGCGTTGAAAAATCTTGTAGATAATCATCCATTACAACATGTGCGATTTTGGGGCAAGATTTTAGGAACAGAACAGAATTACTACGTAGCAGAAGTTGAATATCGTGAGGGGGATGAAGAAGAGGAGGAAGAAGAAGAGGTAAGTAAAATGGATACCATGTTTAAATTGATACACTGGAAAAAAAGTGATTATCAGGTCAAATAAACTTCTTTAAAAAAAGGTAAAAAAATCTATCTCTCAAAGAAAAAATAGCTGTTCTTAATACCTGTATTCTCAATACCTGTATTCTCAATACCTGTATTCTCAATACCTGTATTCTCAATACCTGTATTCTCAATACCTGTATTCTCTATACCTGGATTCTTAATAAAACAAATGTAACATTTGAATGATCAGAAATAGATTATTGTCCGATCATTTCTCATATTGCTTGGTAAAGACTAGTCGAAACGTAACACAGTAATAAACAGCATTTGTCTTCTATAGAATCATTTAATTAACAATTGAGTCATTTAAAACATTTCTGTTTTGTGAATTTAATAAAGGACATTTATTTTGTAGGAAGAACCAAATGAGGAAGATTCTACTGAAAAAGATGAGGCTGATGAAGGCGAAGAAGGTCAGTTTTACCATAAAACATTTTATTTTGTAAAAAACAATATTTTATTAAAATTAAAAGTTTTAAAGGCATTGAAGAACAGGCAAATAAAAGGATGAATATTATATAAAAGATAAATAAACAAAAAATTTAATTATAAAACATACATTATGCAAGAGATAAATCTGTCTATTGCAGGTCTTTCTTTAGGCCTGAAATGTTATCTAAATTATTAATTAGATATTTATTAACTTATCCAGGCCATAATCAACTCTCGATGCCATCTTATGTGTCTGATTTTCTTTGGGATTTGAATCTGATCTGCTGTTCAACATCTGTTGATGATTAAACACAAAAATGGATAATCGAGACTTTGTTAATTATCGTGAAAGCAGTAACAATGACAATCGAGGCTACAGAGATTTTAAAATAAGGTTTTCTCGGTTTAGAGTAAAGCAATGTGATTGAAATTTTCAGCATAATCCATTTACATCATCTAGTTTTTATCTTTTATAGTGCGAACTTCCGACTCTTAATCTAATCTTACATATTGTATCTTTGATCAACAACAACATATAGAGTTCTATCATAAAACGTTCAAAGTATCTCTATGATACGCGGTACGCACATAAACCTCGGTCTTCAAGTATGGGGTATGAAACCTCGGTCTTCAAGTATGGGGTATGAAACCTCGGTCTTCAAGTATGGGGTATGAAACCTCGGTCTTCAAGTATGGGGTATGAAACCTCGGTCTTCAAGTATGGGGTATGAAACCTCGGTCTTCAAGTATGGGGTATGAAACCTCGGTCTTCAAGTATGGGGTATGAAACCTCGGTCTTCAAGTATGGGGTACGTTGACGACTCAGTCTTCTTGTTTTAATTCATGTTTTATTTTGTATTTTATCAGAGGAAACAGAAGAAGATGATTTCCCTAAACCAGAATTTAAAGCACCTGCCTCACCACCTAAAGAAGATAATAGAACGGGTGTCAATAAAAAAACGTATTTCGTCTGTAATGAACGTAAGTAGTTCCTCCAATTATTTAGGGGGGTTGGATGGCCGAATGGTTAGCACCTGCGTGCTGTATCATAAGGCCTGTCACTGAGTCAACTGGCAGGGTTTCGATTCCATAGTGGTACGTGACAAGGAGTAGGGTCACCTGTCCAGCCTCATGGCCTGTCCAACCGCGTGGGTTTTCCCCCGGGTCCTCCAGTTTCCTCCCACTGCTAAAGACCCCTACAAGCAAGCGAATTATTGAAATAAAATTAAACCATATGTTAGTCCCGAAATGACCTAGTTTGTGTCGAGTGGATGTTAAACCCCATTTCTCTCTTCATCCTCCAATTATTTATAATTATAAAACAATCATTAGAGTGTTGTATTTAATGTTGCCGTGTCATTCAGATGAGGCAAAACAAACAGGTCCCACCTATACCATTGGATGCACATTAACATTCCCCTGGTGGTAAAATTTGAAATAAAAATTTAGGATGTAGTGCCATTGGCCATCAAACTTTCTGTAGCCCGCTGAATGGCATATCTGTTTTCATTAGCCCAGGGTTTGTTCAGAAAGTAGGATGTTAAACTCCATTTAAATTTTTTAGCTCAGTTGGTCTAAAATTTCATATGTAATAGAATTTATTTTTGATATTTACAGCTGGTAAACCATGGATTAAACTGCCAGCCGTTACACCAACTCAAATATCTGGTGCCAGAAAAATAAAAAAATTCTTCACAGGTCGATTAGATGCTCCGGTAAGTTTTATTTACATATTAAAGGACAATATTGGTGTCAGACATTATCACATGTTAAAGGACAATATTAGGTGTCGGTCATTATCACATGTGTCATAGAACTGGTTAAACACGTTCCAAATATAATTTTAACACAGAGATCATTGCTACGATAAATGCCTTATGAAGCTTTCAAGAAACGGAAGTGATGAATGCAAAAGAAAAACGTGTTATCCTTCTATATAACTGACCGAAGTGACGAGTGATAACAGATACATGGGCGAATTTCTGTTCACTAATAATTCCTTCGAAAGACAAAAGTGGGAGGATATCTGACAATTGAAAACAATAATTGATTGTCACTAGATAAGAGAAAACGAGAAAAAGTCTGTGCATTACCATGTTTTTATAAAGTAAAGAATGAATAAAAACAAGGGAATGTTTTCTCGTAGTGATATTCATGATTGTTGTTTGTTAGTGGTTAATGATGATCCGTGACATCTATTATTATATTGATGTTATATTTCAGGTTGTATGTTATCCACCATTTATTGGTAATGAATCTAATTATCTCCGAGCCCAGATTGCCCGTATTAGCGCCGGAACCCACATCTCACCTCTAGGTTTCTATCAGTTTGATGAAGAAGAGGAGGAAGAAGAAGAAGGAGAAGGTATGTTTTCCATTTATTACACCAAAGTTTTTAACAACAGAGATTAAATAGCTGCTAATTGGTTAGGGTTTATAAACCTTGTACATTTGTGCTAAGCGAAAAAGATATTAGGATTAAATTATGTAAGAAAGATTGTTGTTTTATCTGTACAAATAAATATGATAACGGTAATTATTTTAATATTTTGATGATATGGCCACAGATCACTAAACTGCAAAACATTTTCTCATTGACCTTACTCATTTCTCATGTTTTCCCAAATTATCGTTTGGTTGAACAAAGCATGTATGAGTTTCATCATAGACATTTTAAGATAATACACAAACTGGAACTTGTAAACTTGCATCTGTCCACCATATATTTAAATGTAACAGAGTGGTCTGTATCCATAGAGGATAATTTGAAGATATCTTAATTAAAAGGATTTGTCTCCCTCTACATGTGTTGTATGCTTTATAATCACTGATGATTCTAAATACGGAACAGTTTTCATCTTGTTTAATCAAGAATTTAATTTTATTTTACAGCTCGTGATCATTTTGTAGAGAATTTAGACTTTGAGGGTATTTCTGTTCGTGATTTAGTTGACCCTCTTTTGACCAACTGGGTTCATCATGTTCAACACATTCTACCACAGGTAAACGTTTAATATACATTCTTTGTCTGTCTATCCTTAAAAACACAGGTAAACGTTTAATAAACATTCTTTATCGGGCCATCCTTAAAAAAAAAAACCAAAAAAACATTCTACCATACATTTAATAAAGAATCTTTATTGATTTGAAATGGGGTTTAATGTCCTATGATTTTGCACCAACAATGAATTAAATGGAATTTTGCTGGAGCAGCACTATGACCTACTCTTATTTCAATTTCCAGCTAGGTTTGAGATGCAAATAAGGCACCTGTCATAGAAATTATCTGGCACAAATTCAGACACAACCCTTCTGGTGGCTGTCATTTTGTCAGGCATATTGTTTTTCTGGATGTGATTAATACATGTTTTCGGGACAATTATAAAATGTCAAGGTACTAGTTCAATAATGCCTGACTAGAATCGTTATTTCAAGTCATGTCCGTGGAATCAACTGGTTTATTTAAATGTTGTATTGTAGGGTCGATGCACCTGGTGGAATCCAGTCCAGAAATCTGAGGATGATTACGAGGATGAAGATGAAGAAGAGGAAAGAGAAGAACCAGATGAACCCGAACCCGAGGTCGGACCACCACTTCTCACACCCATTGCTGAGGATGACGAGATCGGCGGCATGTCACCATGGACACCCAAACTCTCCTCTAATCTTATTCCACAATATTCTATCTCCGTGATGCACTCGAACTTGTGGCCAGGAGCTCATGCATTTGCCATTGAAAAGTAAGTTGAAGATACTGAGATTTATGCTCCATCAAATTCACATGATTCAGCTGATTGACATGATTCAGCTGATTGACATGATTCAGCTGATTGACATGATTCAACACAGATCCTGTATCGTTTCATTTTTTATAGTTCAAAATTTCACAACACTAGGATCTGGAAGAGTTATATAACCCATAATTCTCAATACTTAAATATATCCGATTCGTCAGTTCGCCAGAAATGCGACGAATGATGAATTGAAAAATTAGCAATATTCAGCCTTTTTTTTAAGTTGTGATCTGGGAGATTACCTATCACTGATTTTTGGATTTTTTTTTTTTTATATTAAAATATTTAATAATCTATTTGAATAATAGATTCAACCATGAAATTTTAAATATTGCTCGAAAAATGCCAAACGATCGTTGACTTTATCCATGATAATCTTCCAAATAAACAAATTTTCCTGACTTGTCAAAACAGCAAATCCCTGTTTTTACAAAGATACTCATTTATAAATTAACTCTATACAAAACTTTACAATTCTTTTCCATTTGATTTCTCCAGGAAATTCGAGAACATTTACATTGGCTACGGACACAAATATGCTCAGGATACCTTCAGTCCAGTTCCACCTCCCCCCGTTCAGGAAGAATTCCCCAGTGGACCAGAAATTACAGAATACGAAGATCCCACACCCGAAGAAGAGGCCGCGTTACGAGCTGCACAACAGGAAGCTGCCGAAGCCGCAGAGGAAATGGAAGACGCAGAAGAAGAAGAAGACGAAGAGGATAATTAAAAAGGGGGATTTGGATTGAGCAGCATCTTTGATCAGTCATTTAAATTTCATCCATTTGCCTTTCATATCAACTTTGTAATAATTTTGAGGACAATTTTTGTTTTAAAGCAATTGATAAGGAAATATTGTACATAACATGACAGAAATAATTCAAAGATATTTTAATTTTTATATAAATTTAAATACTTTCTTGTAAAATTTGGATTCAGGGTTTGTTTTAATTCTTATATTTAAATCCGACAGCATTATTATCTGTTGAAGCATTATCTCTTTGTAAATATTGAAATATTTATTGTATATATACAGTCGTTGCAAATGAAACTTGTAATATTTATTCTAATGACTGTATTCTTTACGTACTTCCCAACTAAACTCGAAAATGTCGAACTCATTCAGAACTCGCATTCATGATAACGTAAACAAAGATGTTTTAAAGAAGCAGTTTTTTCATTGGTTGATAATTTAATTACTAGGTTAAATTTAGCTTTTGGCCAATGAAAAGACTGCTTTCATAAATTATTTCTTTTGGAACAAGGCTCCTAAAAGGAAATTTTATGCTCAGGATTGGGACAGATCTTAACATGTTTTTGTCAGAGAAATAAAATCGTTCATTTGTATGAAACTAACTGGTCTGTGATACGTGGTAGACATTGTTTCATTATCAGAGTGTATAATATATAATAGGTTATTTATTGTCAAATAAAATAAAAAATGTACAATTTTATAGTCAGTTTCTGGTGATTTTTTTTTTTTTATCTGCCCATTTTTGGTGATGATGCTGGGATGGTTTCTGGTTGCTTTTTTATCTGCCTGCTATTTAAGTGGTGATGCCAGGAATTTGATTGTTGGCTTCTGGGTATTTCTTACCAATTTATTTTGCATGACTCCGGAAATAATGGCTTAAAATATGCAACCCCAGATGTCATGACGGAGAAAAAACAATTACAGTGGACTCAGTCAATTCCGACATCGTACGGGATCGATACAATGCTGGATTAGACAGCATGTCGGAATACTCAATTGACACAATACCGTAAGTATTATGCCAGAAGTACTAGATGTAGAGTGCCGGAATCTGCAGAGGTTTACAAGAAACTCAAACCAAATGCCAAACGCTCTCTTTTTACAAGAGATTATCAAATTATAGGGGTAATCAACAAAGACCGGCACGTGTTTTATGCTCCTGGATAATTGATTGGTGATTGCTTGTCGATTAACACCCACTGATTGAAGGACGGATAATCCAATGTCAATTCAATGCAAAACTTTATACGGCAACACCAGGGTCGAACCAACTAGTTAGTGAGCCAGCACTGAACTCACTGAGCCAAAAACTTGATGCATTCAGTATTGTACAGATTGTGATTGGTCGTATCGAGATCCAACTTCGTGATTAACAAAGCCTTTCGTTGGTTGTCAAAATAATTTCAATGGGACTATTTAAGCTATTATTGCAGACTCGGGACATGCTTTTCTTGGGATTTCATTGGAGTCTCAATCCAAATAAATGGGATAATCGTATCACCTGTTTTTTTAAATTGGTTTGTTTCCTGATTTGTAGTTCCAAATAGATTAAAGTCTTTGTGGGAGGCCATGGTATTCGATTAGAATGTTCCTGGCATGGAATTTTTCAAGTCCATCCTTCACTTGTCGGGGCTTATACGGTAAGCGTGCCTAGTCGTTTAGATTGTAGGAGAAACCAATTGTATAATAAAAAAACCTTGACAGTTGGACTTGCGCGTAGAGGTCTTTAGCAGTGGGAAGAAACCGGAGGACCCGCAGAAAACCCAAGAGGTTGGACAGGCGACCCTACTCCATGTCACATACATCCAGGGATTAGACTTGGAAGAACAGTAGGCGGAAATAATATGTCAATATGAACATATGCCTTCGGTTGAATTTTTTTTGCGATAGTTCCTTAAACCTCATTCCATTGATCACTGTGATGTAGACCGGTGATCTTTACTATCAAGTATAAACTCATTTAGGGGGTTAGATGGTCAAATGGTTAGCACATGCGCTGTACCATAAGGCCTGTCACTGAGTCAACTGGCGTGATTTCGAATCCCTGGTTGTACGTGACAAGGAGTAGGGTTGCCTGTCCAACCATGTGGGTCTTCCGGTTTCCTCCTACTGCTAAAGACCCATACGCACAAGCGAATTATTGAAATAAAATTAAACCATGTTAGTCCCGAAATGATCTAGTCTGAGTTGAGAGGATTTAAACCCCATTTCTCTCCCTCTCTCTAAACTCATCTAGCAGCCATGGTGACAAAGTGGGTAAGAAACGCTGGCTCGCTAGCCTGCAAGTCGCGTGTTTGTTCCCTGCATTGGTCGAGAAAGTTCATCAGGATTTTCCAAGGTGGTTTCCCCTTGTTAGTGATGCAGGACGAAAGGCCTGACAAAGGACAGCTGTCTAGTCATTCGGATGAGACGGAAAACCGAGGTACCGTGTATACATTGGCGTGCACGTAAAAGATCCCATGGCAGTTGGAATTCGATGTAAGAGTAGGCCATAGTGCCGCTGCCCGGGCAAAAGTTTCCTCATAGCACATTGTATGGCGTATGCCTGTCTTTATTAGCCCAGTCGGAGCAGAACAGTAGGACGTTAAACCCCATTTCATTTCTAAGACATCTGTAAGACCAGTTTGATTCTGATCATAATTCCTGTTTCCTAGCAACAAACGAGTCCAAAGAAAGAAAAAAAAAAAAACTAAACTATTTATTTCATTATATATTTTTTTATTGATTGCACGAAGAAAAAAAAAAGATGCATGGCATGATAAAAAATCGTTTGTCATTTTATTTTTAAAAAAAACGACAACCAATATTGTTAAATATTACATGTAAAGGTCAAAGGTCATTACATACTGGTTAAAATCACATATATACTGACTTCACATAAAGCTTTAAAACAACCAAAATCTATCATCAGGGTGAAGGGTCATATATTGTAGCAATACTGAATTGCTCATGATTTTTAGATATTAAATTAGTAATATGTTATCAATCCATTAACCCTCTAACACCCCGATAAAACTATAGAAAAACTCATCACTTTTACAGCTCATTTTAAAATTACTGCTCCCTAATAATATAGGCTACTCCTTCAAACTATCCAAGTTACAAAAATAGTTCACAATCCTTAAATAGTCCACGGCTTGTTTTCCATTTACACTTTTTCCACAGTGAAGAAGTCTGTCTAATTTTAAAAGGAATGGGACTGTTTCCATGTAGCCAATGGAAACGGCGCTGAAACATGTAGGCCTACATTGAAAACAGGCTTTCGATAGTACGAAGCACCAGCAGGATTTGAGGTTTTGGGCAGCCCAGTACTCAAGGGTTAACTCAAATTATGTCCAGTTTAGTATTTTGTAATGGGGTTTAACAACCACTCAACACAAACTAGGTCATTTCAGGGCTAACATATGGTTCAATTTTATTTCATTAATTCTCTTGCGTGTAGGGGGAGGAAACCGGAGGACCTAAATGCCACCAGGTTGGACAGACGACCCTACTCCTTGTCATGTACAAGCAGGGAATCGAAACCACACCAGTTGACTCAAAATAAAATGTTTACATTTACCAATGATACAAAGACAGATATAACGTGGATGTTATTTGAAAGAGTTGGAGCTCAAGTGCTAGAACGAATATACTCCATTTCCTTTCATATCTTCATCATTCATTTTAATTTCATTAAATTGAAAACAGGGGATGGGGAGGGGCAGATTTCACAAAAAGTTTACAAAATTGTAAATATAAATAATTAATAATAAAATTTGTAATCTTTGCTCACTAAATCATTGTTCATATATTTACAATTAAATTTATGCCATACATTACAATAGCCAAGTTTTAAATACTAAATTATGATTAATCAAAGTATGAAAACGTTTTGACAGCCTGGCATTTAAGGACAGTTAGCAAAACCAAATGATTTAAGACTCAAATACAGTCTAAGGCCTGTTTTCCATCTATGCGTTTTTCCCCGGCGAAAAAGTCGGTCTAATTTTAAATGTAATGGGACTGTTTACATGTAACAGAAGAAAATAAGCGGGAAAGTGCATATATGGAAAACTACCTTAATTCATATTATAAAAACATAATTTCATTGGTCAAAATTAATTTAAAATATTTGCTGCACACTTTAGGCCTGAAGACATATATGACATTTAAGTACAATCCGAGGTGAACATCAAATAAAACTTATAAATATACATTCTATATACCATGACAAACTATTTATAGCACTAAAAACATGCGATTATTTCTCCAAAAATCATAAACTACGATATTTTCACGTTATTCTACCATTTCATTAGCTAACGTTTAGATTTATCCTTAAAGACACAAACTGTTTTAATTTCAAATCAAATGGGTTTTAATGTCCTACCGATTGAGGTTAATGGAGACGGGCAAACATCATTTAATAATGGCGGTTGCTGATTTTAAAAGAATTGAGCTTTGATTGGCTTAGATTTTGAAATCTAGAGCCGGATTTATTGTCTTATTCATAAAGACTTAACGTTTTTTTAATTTTAATAATCCTATGTAAATCCAGTTTTAAAAGAATTGTGTTTTTAGTGAACAAGGGTCAAAATGTGAATTCCAGACTTGATAGATCATTTTTACTACGTGTTAATGCTGCAAGTAACTCAAGATTTGATGCAAAATATTGAAATTACAAAACATGACTCAAAAAAAGTCACAAAACTCGTAATCTCCAGTAATAAGATATTAATAAGATCACGGCACCAATATCCCAGTTTATGATTACAAGAGAAATAATCACCAGGAGCCTTAATTCATGAAAGCAACCTTTTCATTGGCTAGGATTTTAACTCTCAACCAATGAAAAGGCAGCATACTTAAATTAGTTTAAATTTTCCTAAATAAGGCCCCAGACCTTTAAAAAAACACGAACACAATCTGCGTCACAAGTTAAAGCGTCCCTCATTTTCTAGGTTTATTACATATTTAAACAAATGAAATGATGATATTATAAAAACTGTTGTCATGTCAACCCCACCATCAAATCTAGATCTACTTAAAAATATATACATCATCTTTAACTTTAAAACATCAATCTATTTATAGCATCATCAATCTATTTATAGCATCATCAATCTATTTATAGCATCATCAATCTATTTATACAATATCTCTAGAAAATACACAAATAACAATCTTATTCCAAGTTTCATTTAATCTTCATAATTCATATTATATCTCCAGAGCTTATTTCCAATGTACAGGCTATTTAAAAATGAATCTTAATATACAAGTAGAACTTCAGAGGTTTTAGAATTCCAACATTTTACATGGTGGGAATTTAAATAACTTCAAATAATTTCACATTCAAAGTGAGAATTGTAAAACGATTGTTTCAATCCATATATTTCAAGATTACAAATTTTTTTTAATATGATCAGTTCCTTTATTTAAAGTTTTGTTCTTCAGAAATATTTCTTAAAATTTTACTTTCCAATTCTTGGGAGGAACAAAAATAAAATAAAAAATACTTGGTTACTCTACTCAGAGGTTTTAAATTTGAAACAAAACATTGTTCATGAAACCCATAAACCCAGGACTAAAATCAAACTGATTTGGCTTTAATCAAGATACATTTCAAGACAGCCTCAAAATTTGATTTACAATATCTTCCTCTAAAAATAGTAAATGCTTGTCGAAACTTCCATATAGTATCAAGTCTAACAAAATAATCCATTAAAATCTATTTCTCCGGTTGTTGTTTATTCATGAAAACCCTGAAAGTCTAACTATAAAATTGTACGGCCTGATCACAATACTGCAACAAAATGTATTACAGTAAGTACCATTATTAAAAATAAATCAGCACTGAGTTTAACAAAATCATCCATCAAAATCTATTTCTACAGTTGATATTTTTACTCATCACAACCCTGACGAACTAAAAATTATATTGTTTTGGCCTTAGCAAGATCTATTTCAACTTCTATAGCACTGAGTTTAACGACACGATATAATAAAGGCTATTTACAATGTATGACTAGTAATTTACAATTCTTTCAAAAAATCTAATTGTCAAGTGATTAATATACACAAATACTAAATAATTTTACTTTTTACTTAATTTATTACGATCATGTCACATCATTTCATTTTCTAAATTCACACAAATATTTGAAAATGACCACACACACATACAAAAAAAACTTTTTTAATAAATACTTCACGTTGATATTAACAAAGGCACTTTTATAAAATAAAATACAGAACTAAAAAAAAAAAAAATAAAAGTAAGTTAGATTTTTATATGGAGCAACTGTGTCACGTGATACAGTGAGTTCGTTCAGGACTGTCGTAACAACATTAAAGCCTCTGGGATAAAACAGTGTATTGCAGTCCACAACTTACCCATCCACTCACAGGGTTTAAAATGTAAATGGTCGATAATAGCCCATTCAGATGCTTAAGTTGAACTGGTTTAAAAAAAAACAGGGATCATTAAACCAGTTTAACTTTGTCGTCTGAAAGCAAATATGGGGCAAATAAACCAGTTTAAAAAACCCAGCTCGCGACTTGTCTTCGAGAAGGCTTTTTATTATAAACTGGCTCATCTTGGTCATCTGAACAGCGTCATGCAGTGCCACTGTTATTGAAAGCGTGCACGAACAAGATAAAGAATATGAAGCTAACCATGCGTAGTTAACTCTAACCTCCGAGCGAAGAGGTCAGAATCATTAAACTGGTTTGGCTTATAGTACGTGTGAAGTGAACGCAACACGTTCCTGTCTTAAAAGTTTAAACGTGGCTGAGACGTCGTATATTCCTCAGATCAGATGAGATGGAAACTATGTACCTGAATAATACCTGCACCCGAGGACCACAAGACACTGTGTTGTTACATTTAATGTCCACAACTTGAGGTGTATAGAACAATATATGGCAGTGAATGTCACACATCACAGGGGCTTCATACAATTAACAAGTTCTTCAATCACACAATTTGGTTAACTAAAGAAAGAACCAACAACTCGAGATCTGCATGTACACTGACAATTAGATAGGTCAGATGACATTGTGTTTCTTCGTAGTCATTAATTATATTCCACCTATAACGCTTGCCTACCTGTATCCATGTATCAAACCCCTGTGATAGATTGGAGCATTTTAATTGGTCTATTTTATAAACCTGAGCGATGGTGAATAATTGTAATTATTATAATGAGTATAAAAATACCAAGAGTATATTATTCTCTTGTATAAAGTTACGATATTCCTGCCTTTATACTGATTTCATTGTATATAATAACAAATCATTTTTAAAATTAAAACAAATCATTTTTAAAATTAAAGGGGCATTATGTAAGATTTAAATAAAGCGCTGACCATTCTTACTACATTATTTCAAAAATAGATATATTGAAAATTTCATTCTTATTACTTTATTTTGAGCAAATTTATCAATAGTTGTAGTTTTGACAAGATGTGTGCATTGATCGTAACCACCGTACTGGTTATTCAAGTCTTAGTACTGCTTCTCCATTTTTAAATTCAATCATTAAATGGCCGAACCATTCTAATCTACTTAAAATCAGAGCCATCTGATGAAATGGTCTTCTCATGTTAATAAATGTCTAATTAATAATTTATATAACATTTAAGGTCAAAGAAAAACCTGCAATCGTCAGATTTAGTTTTTAAATAATGCCCGTTTAATTGGATATTAATTCATGTCACTCTGTGATCCAGTAACTTCTTTGTTCGACTGTATATAGAGAGAGTCTGACCAACTTTTGTCTTAATTGTGATTTTTCTTCTGTTGTTTATCTATAAAATGAAATGGGGTTTAACGTCCTACTGTTCTGCTCCGACTGGGCTAATGAAGACGGGCATACGCCATAGAGTGTGCTATAAGGAAAATTTTGCCCCGACAACTGCTAGTGGATCTTTTACATGCATGCCAATGTGTACACGGGACCTCGGTTTTTCGTCCCATCCAAACGAATAGACAGCTGTCTTTGTCAGGCCGTCCGGCATGCATCATTGGCCTGGGGAAACCACGCTGGAAAATCCTGATGCACTATCTCGCCCAATGCAGGGATCGAACATGTGACCTACAGGCTAGTGAGCCAGCATCTTACCCACTTAGCCACAGTGGCTCCCTTTCTATTAAACATACAGACTGTGTAACAACCATGGTAGTAGTTGGACAAACTCCTTTTACTCTTTTTAGGAAGTGCTACGGATCATTTAATATAACATTATATCAATCAGAAACCATCTTGCCAGCCATGTTTGCTGCTAACAAACCAAACATGAAGAGAAAAATACCACAAATTGAATCCTGTAGTTGGCCAAACTCCTTTTACTCTTTTAAGGAAGTGCTACAGATCATTTAATGTAATATATCAATCAGAAACCATTGTGCCAGCCATGTTCCAGATACAAATCTATTCCTGAAATAATTTTGTATTATTTCTTGCTGGTAACAAACCAAACATGAAGAGAAAAATACCACAAATTGAATCCTGTATTCCATATCTTAAATAAAAGTTTATAAATTTAATTATTGAATAATTTTCCAGAGGTAGACGTTTTATTTACTGGTCAGATAATGACTGGTGAAATGAACTGAATTAAATTAAAAGCCCTGTCTCTAAATCACTGGTCAGATAATGACTGGTGAAATAGACTGAATTAAAACCCCTGTCTCAAAATCTTTAAACAACTCTTGTGGATACAGACCAATGTTGTTCTGAGTATGATGTTATTGTTGAGGTAGTTGTTAATGAGACAATATACAATGACCTTGAGTTCATGGTATAATAATTATCTTAAAAGCTTTGAGGGACCTTTGGTTGCTTCGATTGTCATAATATGGTCCGAGTATCTACAAACGAATAGCATTTTGTACCAACTATTATTAGGCTGGTCTGTAGATGCTACTTAATTCTAAAAAAGTCCCCAAAATGAGTAAATACTAGAAAATATGGCAGACATTACAACTGACATTGGCACCGCCATATTGCTGGTTCTAATGATAGTCCTGACTGACTATAATTGACAGCCAAAGGTCGCCCTTACAAAAATCAGCTAAAATAAACATTGAAACTTACAAAAAAATGATAGAAAACTAAACTATTTTCTCTTTATTGCCTACATAAATTAGAGACGTGCCTAAATTAAAATATTAATTTATTTAAATGAGATTATATATTATAATAAATTATTCTTCATCACTTTCACTTCCCTCGCTTTCGACTGGTGGTTCGAGACCGGATCGTAACGTTACTTGGACATTACGATTGATGCTGACAGCTGGGAAGAAGACTCCATGTAAATCGGTGAATGCGATTGGTCCATGTGGCTGGTCATTTATAAAATAACTGAGTGTGTGTTGATTTAAGTCTAATAACATGCCGATAACGCTGCCTGGGTTGATTCCACCATTTGTACGATTTGTATGTTCGTCCCGATTTATAAACCAACTTCGTTGATTGTCGATGTACATACTCCAAGCTTTATCATCTTTACCTACAATAAATAAACACAAATATATAAACAAGCCAACCCTAGTGTCCCCTGGCCTCAAAAACAAGCCAACGGTGCACCAGGTGTCCCAACCCAACCCTAGTGTCCCTTGGCCTCAATAACAAGCCAACAGTGAGGCGGGTGCCCCCCCACCCCCACCTCAATAAAAAGCCAATAGTGAGGTTGGTGTCCCCCCCAACCCCTCCCTCAATAACAAGCCAACAGTGAGGTTGGTGTCCCACCACCTCAACGACAAGCCAACAGTGAGGTTGGTGTCCCCCCCCCCACCTCAACGACAAGTCAACATTGAGGCCAATGTCCCCCCTTCCCTCAATAACAAGACAACAGAGAGGACGGTGTTCCCTGGCCTCTATAACAAGTATCCGCGAGGCCAGTGTCTCCCCGCCTCAATCCCAAATTAAATAGATGACACACCTTAAATGCTTTTACAATCTATCTTTAAACATGGCATCAACAAATTAAAATGTTCCTTATATAACTAGGTCAAAGTATCCAGGATCTCAAACTATACACAAAGGATTCTCAGACTTAAGTTAAGAATTTACTCAAAATTGTCTGCCTTAATTGCACTAAAATATAGCCCTTTATAAAACTTTTGTTGTTTTAATATATCAAATACATTAATAAGAAACTATATGCAAATTTTGGTGTTTCTGGATCAAAGATATTTCTCATAAACAGTGATTGAAAGTTGAGTAAATTCTTAACTTAATAAGTCTGAGAATGCTTTGTGAACTTGGGGCCAAGTTTCATCACTCTACTCAAATAGATTATCTCAATATATCAACTCAGTTTAGACCGAGTGATTGTATTTAAAAATATGCAACAGACAGATATACCCATTTCCATACTTCCTTTCTTTAATTGAAAATTGTCGTCAAATCAAATCAAATCAAATCGCATAGAACTAATCAATCACTCTATTAATACAATTTTTTCTATATAAATCAAAATGTTGTCAAATCACTCTATTAATCCATTTATTTTTATATAAATCAAAATGTTTTTTACAGCTGAGCTTTGTGATCATCGTGACCGTAGACTTACCTAGCATTTGGTTTTTATCAACATCAAATCTTGCGATACCAATAGATGGATCCGTGTGACTGTCATAACGATCTATATGAACCTCCCAGTAATGTATACCCTTGGAGAATCCTACACTGCCGAGTGCCACACGATGATCGAAGCTATTACATGTGATACTCTGGTTATTGTTCGCAAAGATTATATCTTGATGAGTTGTGATAGGGTCAAAGGTGAACCAGGCAACTGTAAAATAAAGTTTTATTCCATTAAATAATTGTACAGAAAAGATGTTAATGTTTCGACAACGTACAACAAAATACTTCAGTGATTCTGATTCATCACTGAAGTACAGTTTAACAATTGTTATATTCTATTCTATATTTTCTGTGCACAAAACACAAAAGATAATATTGCCAAGGCAGCAGCTAATTGTGTACATTTCTTCAAATCTGTTAGGGGTTATTGGTTTTTTAGGGGTTTTTTGGCACCTCGACCAACAGAAAAGATTTAAATTTACATCTATCTCTAGTGGCTCAAACCACTGACTCTCTCTAACTAGTCAAAACGCTGGCTCCTTCTAGTGACTCAAACTGCCTGAGTCACACGAATAGCTGTGAACTACATGAAATATAGTTTTAAGCTTTTTCACAGATAAAAAATAAGATTAAATTCTTTAAAGAGATAATTTCACATTTTCTAAGAAAGTGAAAACATAATTATTTCTATATCTGTTACTGAATAGGTTGTCAACTCACTACTACACAATCATAGAAATTATTCTAGAACTTTAACTTTAAACATAAAATAGGTTGTCAACTCACTACCATAGGAATCATTTTAGATCTTTAACTTTAAACATAAAATAGGTTGTAAACTCACTACCATAGGAATCATTCTCGAATTTTAATTTTAAACATATGACTTAAGAAAATACATTGTAGGTTTAATATCACAATAAATTCTTCAGCCAGTTTGTCAAATATTGTCGAAAAGAGAGCCCTGGCGAGAGAATGCCGTTTTTATTTCCAGACTTGAGACTTTATATATCTATTGAATAAGAATAATCTAACAGATATCAATTTGGTGGGTCTGGACTTGGTTCTAGTCAATGTAAACAGTACAGGAGAGGTCTCGTTACAAATTGACAATGTCCAGCCAGTGTAAATAGTTGAGGAGAGAGGTCTAGCTAAGATTCATTATTGTATTTAAACAATGGCTACTTCATTACTAAACCATCTGATACCATTGTTATCGATAAACACAACTGATAGGATTAAACTCTCCGTACAACAACGCGACAACAATTCACCACTTTCTTAATACAATTATAATTCCCTTCGCTAGATCTTACGACAATTTCTAATTTCCTCCATAAAATCTTTAACAATAAAGAGACTGGCAACTAAATTCTAATTTAATGGCAATTGTTAGTCCTATTATTCCTGATAAAATTTGGCGCCACAGTTTTTGGACGTAACAAAAGAAATTTGTGAAAGTAGCTGACAGACGTCTTGGAATATTCACGAAGAATTGAGAGGAGTTGATTGTTTTAGGGTAAAGACCCAAATCTTCTCGTTAAATTTTATGTAAATTAATGAAATGTTATAATGGAGGAACTTCATGCAGTGACACAATTTTTCATTCCTAGAGAATTATTGATGAATTTGCAGGTCTACAAACAATAATCAAGTTAAAAGCCTAGAAACATTGTTTAGATTAAAGAGAGAGAGATATGGGGTTTAACGCTCATTCAACACAAACTAGATCATTTTGGGACTAACATATGGTTCAATTTTATTTATCTCCACTGCGAAAGACCCCTAACCTGATCACCCGGGTACTGGTCGATGAGCCAGTGCCTTACTTACTGAACCTTGGTGGCTCCGAAACCAGGTATGACAATGGCTTTCATAATTAGAGGTCAATTTAAACATTGTTGATTAAAATATGTTAAAGAACTTGTGACAGTTGGAATTCGATATAAGAGTAGGTCGTAGCACCGCTGCCTTGGCAAAATTTCCCTCATAGCACACTGTATATTGTAAGCCCATCTTCATTAGCCCAGTCGGTGCAGAAAAGTAAGAGTTATATTTACCTTCAGCAGTTTGTAACGAGACGATTTCACTGTAGGGACTCTCCCCGGCATGATTGTGACCTTTAACCCTAGCATTATAAATACTATTAAAATGGAGGCCATCAACAGTACATATTGTTTCTCTTCCAACGTAAACAACCTGAAAAATAGAAATAATCATTCAAATCATAATACAGATGTGACGTCGCCATCCTTTAATATTGGCGTACCATTATTTCAAATCATCTACAGGTAACTTGCAAATAAAGGTACAGGTAACTTGCAAATAAAGGTACAGGTAACTTGCAAATTGTACATTACCGGTATTTTGGTTGTTTTAAACGATATTAAAATACAGATGTGATGTCATCCTTTAATATTGGTGTACCATTATTTCAAATAATGTACAGGTAACGTCCCAATCGTACATTATTTAAATGAAGTATTCGACACACATGGGGGTGGGATAGCCAAATGGTTAGCATGTGCGCGTTGTATCATAAGGTCTGTCTTTGAGTCAACTGGCGTGGTTTTGATTCCCCGGTTGTACGTGACAAGGAGTAGGGTTGCCTATCCAACCTCGTGGGTTTTCTCCGAGTCCTCCGGTTTCCTCCCAGTGCTAAAGACCCCTACGCGTAAGCAAATTATTTAAATAAAATTGAACCATGTGTTAGTTCCGAAATGACCTTAAACCCCATTTCTCTCTCTTTCTGGACACACATGCTGGATTCTGTCTGTCTGTATTTTAAGACATTGCATCATATATTCCTATACCACTCAGGTATCCCAATGTAGAAATGGAAAATAACAAGGAAAACTGTCAGATATATGAACTTCCTAAATACATCAGAAGTGGTATCAGATGTTCTAATGATTATAATGTGGACATTTATTATGGTCTTCTACACAACAAGTTCAAGGTGAGCCTCCACAGTCATGGGCCACTTTCATGCACCTCTGCATAGTTGTGCTTCCCATGGGCCACGTTCTGGCACCTCTGCATCTGTTGTGGTAATCACATAATCTAAATCCTCATCATGCCACTGAACTATTTTGGCAAAAATATTTTCTTGCTTTACCAGTTTATGCACACATAAATAACAAATAATTATTTCTATTTCTGCAACACACCCGACCCCTTGGAATAGTTGCACCTAAAAACCCCTTCTAACCCCTGGAATAGTTGCACCTAAAAACCCTTAACTTTCCCTCTTTTGTTCTTCATTTCATTTTGCCTAATGACGACATTATTCAACCATAAGGAGACATAAAAAAATTGGGGATGATTTTGGGGATTATTTTTCTCAAATGAAGCGTAAATTTTATAGTTTTAATTGAACGCCGTGTTAATTTATTTGTGGATAATTAGAGTAATTAAATAGAACAGGTATCCGTACAAACAATGGTGTCTGTATTTTAATACTCCAAGATTTAATTTATCTAAATGTAATTAGCCGACCTTCTACTCTAAATCACTTTGTATAATCAGCCAACCGGCAGAATTACACGATAATTCAATCACATGATCCTTTTATTTTAATTTTAATTTTAAACGATTCTTTTTTTTCTGTTACAAGATTACCTTATTAGCCGTGCACATAGCTGCTATTATATCGTAAAATTAAAAGACAAGTGCATATTTTAAAATAGCCACACCTCTTTGTGAATTTTATTTGATGTGTGCGGTTGGATGACAATTTAGAATTTAGATCAGAAGGTTTGTCATCGTGTCAATTCCCCACTGGTACTTGACAAGGAGTAAGGTCACCTGTCCAACCATGTGGGTTTACTCCGGGTCCTTCATTTTCCTGTGGGGTTGGATGGCTGAATGGTTAGCACGTGTGCGTTGTATCATACGGTCTATCATTGAGTCAACTGGTGGGGTTTTGATTCCCAGGTTGTACGTGACAAGGAGTAGGGTCGCCTGTCCAACCTCGTGGGTTTTCTACGGGTCCTCCGGTTTCCTCCCACTGCTGCTAAAGACCCCTACGCGCAAGCGAATTATTGAAATAAAATTGAACCATGTGTTAGTCTTGAAATGACTTAATTTGTGTCGAGTGGATGTAAATCCCATTTCTCTCTCTCTAACTTCATTTTCCTCCCACTGCTAAAGCGCCCTATGTTCAAGCTAAATAGTGAACCATATGTTAGTCCCGAAATGAACTACTTTGTGTCGATTGGATATTAAACCCCATTTCTCTCTACCTACTGCCAACAATCATTAATCATAGAGACATCAGTTTAATATTGCCAAACAAGAATTTAATCACGTGAGAGTTTTTGTGCCATATCTTAAACGGAAAAAATCACATAGTTTCAATATTATTCAGCATATACTGTAGCATATATAGGATCTATACAATCCAATCCAGACAATCCAACGACTCCCTAAGGATATAAAAATTGGGTTTTTGTACCCTGGAATATTATTGCTCATGCTAATTCAGCAATCACCATACCTTTAGAAGTATTTGTCTGTTTACCCACAACTTAAAAGATTTCATAAATAGTTCTAAGTTTTCAATTTGAATGATAACCCGGACAACCAAAATGATACAATAATAAAATGTTTTTGCCCCCATGCAAAAATAGGGGTCACTACACCCCTGAAAGACAATTAAGAGTATTTATGTCTATACCCACAAGTTAAAAGTTTTTAAAATATTTCTAATTTTTCAATTTGTTTGATGACTTAATGTATAAATCAGAGATTTGTCTGCCTGTGACAGAAGTCATCATATCAAATATCATAATAATCAACACAGACGTCTGGTCAGAAACTATTCTTCATATTTAAAATAAAATTCTAGATTAGGAAAACAGAATTCTGATTTACGCCTGACGCACCAACTCTTCACTGGACTCGTTTATCTTCAATCTAATTGTCATTTAGCCATTCCTGGTCGGACATTAGCCATTTATCATCAAACATTCGGCCAAGAACAGCCTGTAACAACCTAAGAGCATGCTGTGCCCAATCTGGCCTTTCCTCCCCCTGATAATTTATGGTAACAATGAATATCTATTGAATGAATCTACACACCATTAAGGGTTAAAAGGAGGGAGGAAATTAATCAAACTAAAGAGCTTTCAAGCAAGTTAATCCAATTTGTTTAATTTTTATTGAATTACTGATTTTAGGGATGATTCTTTTAATTTTAACCCCTCATTTGTTGTCTGTGGACAAAGTCGTATCGTGTCTTAACATTACAATTTCTTTCACTCTCTTTTCTTTCTTCAAATCTAAAACATCTTCAACCCAATTTTTCTCGTTGATTTTTTCTGCTCCACCGACCGCGACAGACAAGAAATTAGATGCTATTGTTAAACCAGATACAAAAAATGAGCAGAAGTAATTTCGAGCCCCTGTCAGAGCAGACGGACAGAACGTTGGCGCCAATTCTGACTCATGGGTCATCAAAATCAGGAATCGGCACTAAGACTGATTGTTAAAACAATAACTCTTAATGACTTGAAAACCAAGACAAAAAACAAACAATTTTTTACTCGTTTTTCATGTTTTATTAAACTATCAACCAGTCCGTCAGTCAGTCTGTCGCAAGCTGGGTACAAATTGTTTTATTTTTTTTATTGAAAGCTTTCTGAAGATTACTTATTTACTTTGTCTCGTGGAATTTTTTTTTTTTTCTTTTTACTATATTTCCTTAATCAACAATCTCAAATATGTATTGGGTATATATAGATATATTCGCCAAATACTATGAGATTTTGTTAATTAACAATTTGACATATTTATAGGTGATATATATAGATCTACTCGCCTAATCCTACCATTTCCTTAATCAACAATTTAAAATATGTATTGGGTATATAAAGATTTATTCGCCTAATATTACGATTTTCTTAATTAACAATTTAAAATATGTTTAGGTGATATATAGATATATTCGACTAATACTACCAACTGTTATGTATTTTTATACAGAAAAGCAGACTTTAAATCCCATTTCATGTATTGACATTATTTATTACCTAATACAATCATTTATTTATCTTAATCTATCTGGTCAGTTAAAAACAATTCCATATTTTATTTATTTTAATTTTACAATAATCAACTACCTTATAAGAAACAATTATCATTCATCTATTAAAATAATTTTATCAAGGAGATATTTTGTTAATATATTTACATGTATGTAAAACTATTAGGACAATCTGCTCTAGATATTGCCACACCTTGACATCCCTATATGCATCATATGATGAATTGAACCGCCCTGTTGCTGTAGAAAAGTTTTATTTCAACTAAAGCTGTTTAATATAGATGTTTCCATGTTAGATGTTTCTATTAACATATTTAATGTTAATATACAGAATATTAGAATAATTATCTGATCAATATCTTCTCTATCTATACTTTAGACTGCGATCTGCGGTGGCCCCACTCGATTATTAACATATAATCTATGTAAATCTAAACTGATTGATTAAAATCAAGTTCAGATTATTTGATCGATAAAAACAAACAAACATCTCCTCAATCTGCTGTGGCCCTTCTTAATTATTAACATATATATTATGTAAATTAAAATAAAACTGATGAATTAAAAAAAAGTTCTGATTTTAAAGAGATTTTCATTGGTATCTGTATTTAATTTTAATAATACAATAAAATTCAAAACAAAATGAATCAGTTTGTACTCAAATGAACTCAGAAATCCAGAGAGAGAGATAAATGGGGTTTAACGTTCACTCGACACAAAGTAGGTCATTTCGGGACTAACACATGGTTCAATTTTATTTCAATAATGCGCTTGCGCGTAGGGGTCTTTAGCAGTGGGAGGAAACCAGAGGACCCAGAGAAAACCCACAAGGTTGGACAGGCGACCCTACTCCTTGTCACGTACAACCGGGGAATCGAAACCCCGCCAGTTAACTCAATGACAGACCGTATGATACAGCCCGCGCATGCTAACCATTCGGCCATCCACCCCCCCCCCCTCAGAAATCCACTCGATAGTTGGAAATCAGAATAAGAGAAGGCTACAGCGCCACTGTCAGGGCAAAATGTCCCTCATAGCACATTGTATGACATATGTCCGTCTTCATTAACCCAGTTGATACAGAACAGTAGGACATAAAAAAAAAAACAACATTTCATTTCATTTTTATTTTTTAGTGTTTTATTCTTTATTAAAAGGTCCTGCAATATGTCGCTAACTTTCTTAATTAGCACATAGCCTTGAATAACCAGTCTCTTGTTTTTGTTATAGATAACAACATCTCGATAAGATTAGCACAGAGCCTTGAATAACCAGTCTCTTGTTTTTGTTATAGATAACAACATCTCCATAAGATTTAAAATATCACGGAATGACATTTGTCAATTTTGAATATTAATGAAATGAAATCTTTGTCCCATCTATTTTAAAATTCAAACGAATCAAGAAAAAAAACAACATAATTTTTATACATTGAAAATTCATCATTATTCCAAATGTCCTTTATTCTGTAATCTCAGCACATTATAAACGTGATTTGTCAATAAAAAAATTATAAAAATTATAAAAATTATAATAAATGCAATCACTACGATTATCTTATCACTGGAACATTAATAACAAAAAAAATGATTTGTCAGCAAAAAAACAAAATGTTTTCATAATAAATGAGTTTAATTGTCATTGTACAAAGGTTTTGTTTGTTTTCTTTCAATTAATTATTGAATTATGGATGGATTTAACATTAAATGGGTTCGCTTCACGTCAGTCTCCACTTCATATTATTGATATAGTTTGTGATAAATTTGAAATAGATATTTTTTTACAGTAATAATTACATGAATCATATTACAATCATGTTATGATGAATGTGACAAACTTTTTCTGTTTTTAACACACAGAGAGAGAGAGAGAGAGAGAGAGAGAGAGGAGTTTAATGTCCACTCAACACAAACTAGGTCATTTTGGGACTAACATATGGTTCAATTTTATTTCAACAATTCGCTTGTGTGTAGGGGTCTTTACCTTTGGGAGGAAGCCGGAGATTCAGAGAAACCCTGTGAGGTTGAACCGGTGACCCAACTCCTTCTCATTAATACAGAGAGAGAAGTAGTGTTTAACGTCCACTCAACATAAACTAGGTCATTTCAAGACTAACATACGGTACTATTGTATGATGATAATTCACTACCACGAAGGAAACTGACAATCCTGTAGTAAACCCACAAGGTTTGGACAGCTGAGGAGAAGATTATGTAATAATCTGTTATAAATTATATCCCATGGGTCGTTAGATATAGGGTAAAGTTGATAGTAATTTATTACTGGTTATATACAACTATTTTACTGGACATCAGATGTTTAAATCATTGTCTGCGATATCAACCCCAGTGAAAGTGGATTTTATAAACCCTACATACAAATCAACAAATGTTTAAATCATTCAGAAATACAATGAAATGGGGTTTAACGTCCTACTGTTCTGCTCCTATACCGGATGGGCTAATGAAGACGGCCATATGCCATACAGTGTGATATGAGGGAAATTTTGCCCGGGCAGCGGCACTATAGAATTCCAACTGCCAGGGGATCTTTTACGTGCATTCCAATATATACACGTGACCTCGGTATTTTGTCTCATCCGAAGGACTAGTCAGCTGTCCTTGTCAGGCCCTCCGTTCATGCACCACTGACAAGGGGAAACCACGTCTAAATCATTATAGTATAACATGGACACAGACACAAGTCTGCCGACCAACGGACTATACAGCACTATTAATTTATGGTTTGATTACCAGTAGGTCAACCTCAGGTCCCATAAACAAAACGATTTGATGCTCCTGAGGTAAATCACAATGTGCCAGAAACAGAGTTGGATGAAGGACTTTATAAATATGTTTTATACATTAAACTGGACACAATCAATAATTACTTCATGTAATAAATTAATTTATGACTTGCCAACTTCCAGTGGGGTATCTAGGATAAGTGGCTTACCACCCCCTCCTTGTGACATTGACCTAATCAACTAAAATAAAGCTGTTTTGGAGTTTATCTTGCAGTAAACTGCATCTTTTCCCCAGTCTTCCTAAAATTTAAATACTGGTAATGTAATATTTACTCCACACTCACACTTTTACCAATTCCTCATACTACACCACTATCTCATCATCTCAACAGTTCAATACAACTAATATCCCATTCACAGAGGCTTAACTATCTTAAGTCAGAGAGAGAGAGAGAGAGAGAGATGGAGAGAGAGAGAGAGAGAGAGAGAGAGAGAGAGAGAGGGGGTTTAACATACACTCAACACAAACTAGGTCATTTCAGGACTAACATATATGGTTCAATTTTATTTTAATAATTCGCTTGCACATAGGGGTCTTTAGCAGTGGGAGGAGACCAGAGGACCCATAGAAAACCCACGAGGTTGGACAGGCGTACAACCGGGGATTCAATGACAGGTAGAGAGATGGATTTTTTAAGTTGGTTTATTTGCCCCACCTTTGTCTTCAGATGGTTTAACGATCGCCATGGATTTTAAACCAATTCAACTTGCAGGTTTGAACGGGCTATAAATAACATCTCCTTATTATTAATAACTTACCCTGAAATCACCACCGTTTCCATCATCTAATTCTAACGTGTACGCTTCAACCACACTATTAGAATATGGCTGCCAGGCAATCGTAACACTGTTATTCTCTGCACTACATTCTTCCGGGATGATACTAGGTTGACCAGGAGCTGAAATCATAAAATATAAAACTCAATGTTTCTTGATCTATTAGTGTGTAACGTCCGCTTTCACCGATAGGTTGTTTTATCTTATTATGCTTAGAAATGAAATGAAATGAAATGAGGTTTAACGTCCTACTGTTCTGCTCCAACTGGGCTAATGAAGACAGGCATACGCCATACAGTGTGCTATGAGGGAAATTTTGACCTGACAGCGGCACTACGCCCTACTCTTATATCGAATTCCAACTGTCAAGAGATCTTTTACGTGCACGCCAATGTGTACACGGGACCTTGGTTTTTCGTCTCATCCGAATAACTAAACAGCTGTCCTTGTCAGGCCCTCCGTCCTGCATCACTGACATGGGGAACCACGCCATATTATGCTTAGAGCACGTGCACGGGTCTTTCCTGTGGCAGGAAACCGGAGTACCTGGAGCCATGAGGTTCAGAAGGTGTCCATATGTTGGTCCTTCAAGTTATATAAATACCTGTGTGACCTAATGAATAGGTTCAAGAGGGAGACACACACACAAACTAGATCATTTCGGGACTAACATATGGTTTAATTTTGTATCAATAATTCGCTTGCACATGGGGGTCTTTAGTAATGGGAGGAAACCGGAGGACCCGGAGAAAACCCACGAGGTTGGACATGCGACCCTACTCCTTTCATGTACAACTGGGGATTCGAAACCACATCAGCTGACTCAATGACATGTTAACGCGCACATGTTAACCATTCGGTTTTCCAACCCCCAGAATAGGTTCAAGGATTAAAGGTAAATTAACAGTGGGCATTAATTAATTACCTTTATAAAATTAAACACCATTTCATTATATGTTTTATTTGAAATTACTAAAGACAACAAATGAAACATCTCGCTAGCTACTTGTTTTAACAAACCAATTACAGTTACTATAACAATAACTGGACGTTTTTGTCGAGAATAATGACATACCACGACGGTACCTCAATTTGTAGTTTAATTCTCATTGTTCACATGAATCTAAATCTGATCTAGAAATTCACAAAATTGAAAACTCATTTCCTTGAGTTTGTCACAAAGAAAAAATAATTTCAACTTGGAAATATTAAATTTTTGTTGCTTCGCTTTTCTTGTTAAAGACCTTGAAAAGACTTCCTGAAGGCGTAAGTCTTGCCAAGTCCATACAAAAAAAACTCTTGTGAAATTCTCACTTGAACAACTCAAGGCAACAATTCCCATCAAATTACAAGGAATAAAAACTCAATTGATATTTTTTAATGTATTGCTTGTTATACTGACGACCTTGAAGCCTGAAGCAATAGCAAGAAGAAATTTAATAAAATTTCAGAAAATGAAATTGAGAAAGTATGTCATTTGATGATTATCAGTTAGGCCAAACCAATGACTTTCTCTGTGAAATTCATAACACATGTAGTCTCTCATGAGTTCATCGTACAAGGAGATGAATGAATTGGAGTTTAACGTCCTACTGTTCTGCTCCGACTGGGCTAATGACGACAGGCATACGTCATACAGTGTGCTATGAGGGAAATTATGCCCAGACAGTGGCTCTATGGCCTACTTTTATATGGAATTCCATCTGTCAAGAGTTCTTGAACAGGCATGGATTTTGTTCCATTCAAACGACTTGGCTGGCCTTACATTATATACAAAACTAACTCAGTTTTATACACAACTAACTCAGTTTTATACACACAACTAACTCATTTGTATACATACAACTAACTCAGTTGTATACACACAACTAACTCAGTTTTATACAAACAACTAACTCAGTTTTATGCATACAACTAACTCAGTTGTATACACAAAACTAACTCAGTTATATACACAACTCAGTTATATATACAAAACTAACTCAGTTATACACAAACAACTAACTCAGTTATATACACACAACTAACTCAGTTTTATACACAAAACTAACTCAGTTTTATACACACAACTACTCAGTTTTATGCACACAACTAACTCAGTTGTATACACAAAACTAACTCAGTTTTATACACACAACTAACCCAGTTTTATACACACAACTCACTCAGTTGTATACATACAATTAACTCAGTTATATACAAACAACTAACTCAGTTATATATACACAACTAACTCAGTTGTATACATACAACTAACTCAGTTATATACACACAACTAACTCAGTTATATATACAACTAATTCAGTTATATACACACAACTAACTCAGTTTTATACATACAACTAACTCAGTTATATACACAACTAACTCAGTTATATACACACAACTAACTCAGTTTTATAAATACAACTAACTCAGTTATATACACACAACTAACCCAGTTGTATACACAAAACTAACTCAGTTATATACACAACTCAGTTATGTGTACACAACTAACTCAGTTATACATACACAACTAACTCAGTTATATATACACCACTAACTCAGTTTTATACACACAAATAACTCAGTTTCAAAAAGCTTTAAAAGTGCAGCTGGGTTTTTTTTTTAGTAAAATAAACACACAAAACAACAAGTCAAAAATAATTAAAAGCTGGACAGCTAGTTAATAGCAAATAGAGACAAATAATACAACAGACAACAGCAAAAACTTTAACAACATGCATATATTAATGTTTCTATGACAAGACCAGGGTCCACTTATTAATGCTTAAAGGGGACCGGTTGTTAAGGTAATTTATTTAAGTTCTGTCAAGTAAAAATTCCATTGTACAATTTTTATTACAAAAGTAGTCATTTTTGGTTGTTTCTAACAAATTATTTCATTAAAACAGATCTTGGGGCAGGACCTCCAGAAAATGTTTCCTTGATTAGAATAAAACTTGTTCCCTATTGGTTCCTGCAGTCCTGAATGGCATAAAACTATCGGGTATGTAATCTTTCAGACAAAGACATTTTTAACCCGGTAAAACCCATTTAACGTCTGTAGTGGCTAAAAAGTTAGTCTACTGCTAGATGCTGGTGCTAGGGCACAAAATTACCCTTTTTTAGGACAACCCCAAATTTATAGGATAAGAGGCATGGTTTAATTAATTGTTTGACCAATTCCCGTGTTGTATCAAAACCTAGGATATGGCCAGCAGTGACAAGAGTAATTAACATCTGAACTAAAATCTAACATCAAAACAACTAAAAACAAAAACGTTGAAAAACTCAAAAAAATAAAGCTCAAACTAAAAACGAATTTTGAACTACCAAGATGCCCACAATGCAATTCTGGTTTTATTGTATAATACTTACCTATGATCCCATCTGATTGCCAAAATAGAAAAAAAAAAACATTTAAAATATCTGTTTTTATAAATTTTTTAAATCACTTAATTAAATGAAGGAGTCTGTAGGAAGTAAGATATTTGTTGGGCCAGATATCGAAGACTGTGATTATGTCCCAGACTGATCTCTGTTTGGGTAGATTATTTTGCCTAGTAGTCTGTATTTTCGGGCCAGATATCCCAGATTATATCCCAGACTGGTCTATGTTTGGGTGGAATATTTAGCCCAACAATTAGTTGATAATTCAGTTATTTTATTGAAAATTCCTGTCTTTATCTATCATATATCTAGATACTAATATTTGTGACTGTCGTTTGATGTCTGTTCGGGGTTGGGGGCTACACTAGGTCTGCCCCGAGTCTGAAATTTGGGGTATAGGGGTAGCTCGGACCGGGGAGTAACATAGGCCAGGTGACGTTAGTCTACCACTTCCGGTTTCGGAGTTATGACCCCCGAGCAAAGCCGGGCATTCTTCTAGTTATCTATATTTTGGACGTCACTTAGATAATTATTTAAACATACATTATGCAAGAGCTAAATCTGTCTATTGCACGTCTTTCTTTAGGTCTTAAATGTTATCTTAATTATTAATTAGACATTAATTAATTATTAATTAGACATTAATTAACTTATCCAGACCATAATCAAGCCTTGATGACATGGTATAGGTCCGATTTTAAGTGGATTAGAACAGTTTGACCATTTTATGATTTAATTTAAAAATGGTGAGGCGAGGCTAAGACTCGAACAACTAGTACAGTGATTACAAACAGTGCACACATCTTGTCAAACCTTCAAAGGCTAATATCTTCGCTCACAATAAAGTAATTTCAATGAAATTTTCAATATATTCATTTTGTATTATCTATTTTTGAATTATTATAGCAAGAACCCGATGAACTTTCTGGGCCAACACAGAAATCGAGCACGGAACCTTCGGGTTAACGAGTCAACATCTTACTCATTGATCCACTATGGTTCCTGAAATAAAAAGTTGTCTGGTTCCAATAACTGGTTGCTTCAGAAAAGTAGTACTTTTTAAAGGAGCTAAATCGCTAATATATGGGACCTAGAAATTGACAAAAACGCATATAATAATGTAATATGAATGTATATAAACTGATTTACATTCAATCGTTTCTGTTTTTACTCTAATTTCTAATCAGTTATATTCGGCGAAATACGCCCGAAGTCTCATGTGAATGGCAATCTTTAGCGTCTGTTTTTTCCAGTCTACACCGATGGTATTTATTGCGCATGCTCTCCAGATAAGAATATAGCGTCACCATTTGACGTGACTTGTGGAATATGTCTAGCCCTGTTCTTTGAGTCCCTTGTTCCAAATGGCACTGAAACGCATTATGGTACACGATTCGTGTACCAATGGTAAAATGTTTATTTTTTCTTAAATATTGGATATCAGAAGCCCATCTTTTCCCTGTAAGATCACAAGACCAATGTTGATTTGAATTGACAAATAATTCATGTTTTCAATGTCGAAGATTTTTGATGATATTGAGTTAGAGACTTAGCTCCTTTAAACCCCATTTTATTTCCAATAAGTGGAAGTACGCCAAGTTTGAACAGTTGTAGAAATTTGAACTTTAGTAATGATATGATTAGTGTTTTGGGTATAATATACCACATTTGATAAACCTACGATCAGCGACTTCCTCCCTCGGCCAGAAAATTACCACAAACACTACAACCTGTCTTTTTTCTCAAC